ACCCAGAAAAATTGGAAACCACTCCAGCTTACCAGGAGCACACTTTGGAATGCAGATCTGGAAGCTATTTTTTTCTGCAGGCACTCATGACTCTGGTTTTCACAACAGCAGGCATTGGCGTCTGTGCCAAGCTGCTAGAGAAGGGCATCTTATCTGCAAAGTCACGAATCCAAGAATCCAAATAGGCCACCATTGGCAAAGGTGGAAGGAAGTTGTTTGTCTTAGCTTCTTGGGGATCCGAAGATTGGGAGGCCTTGGGGACCGCAGGTACCTTGTTGTACCTTGATACCAACCCAGGGAAAAGGTTGCCGGCAGCTTCGCAGAGCTACCCGGGGAGGCAGTGTCTTAGTAAAGGACATTTTGGTGGCAAATAACAGAAAGTCAAACCAGTGGAAGCAAAAAGGGGGCATGTATGGGGAGGGAAAGCCAGTTTCTGACTGGCCTGGCTCTTCAACTGTGCTTGTCCTTTGATTCTTTAAGCTTTCTCATTTCCTTTGAATAAACTGCCTTTCTGCGGAAGTGAGCCACAGGAGGTTTCTGTGACTTGCAACTGAAGAATCTTGAGTGATACAAAGTGTTCTAGTGGAACCCAGGGGCGGGCACTGAAACTGGCCTTCCCAAAGAAAGAAACTAGAAAGCAGAAAGTCCTCGGGAATCCAGCTAACTCATCTGTGTCGCTTGGAAAGGCTTCTGCTTCAAATAACAGAAAACGGACCGTGGGTAGATTGTAAAAATTTGGAATCCTTCCCAAAATGACTCTGGCCACGTGATTTGCTTTGTTGATGGGATATTAACAAACACAAGGCAGTGTCTGCCTTTGGCTCAGGTCATGATCCCAGAGTTCTGGGATCGAGCCCCGCATCCGGCTCCCTGCTCAGCGGGGAGCCTGCTTCTCCCTCTCCCACTCCCCCTACTTGTGTTCCCTCTCTCGATGTGTCTCTCTGTGTCAAATAAATAAATAAAATCTTAAAACAAGCAAGCGTGAGGCTGAGAGACTTGGTACGTGTCTGTGGGTTGGGGCTTGTTCCTGCTGCTCCTGGGCACCTGGGCCGACCGCCCTGGGAAGGAGCGTGGTCTAGCCTGCTGGGTGATGAGAAGCCATGCCTCCCGGAGACAGACCGTCCCAGCTGAGGCCTCTCTAGACCAGGATTCCTCATTCTTGGTACTACTTACATTCCGGATCACATGAGTTTTTGCTGTGGGGAGCCTATTCTGTGCACGCTAGCGTCCTTGGCCTCTACCCACGAGATGATAGTAGTACCCCACCCCCCAAGTTGTGACAACCAAAACTGTGACTGGACATTGTCAAGTGTCTCCTGGGAGGCAAAACTGTCCCCGTTGAGAACTCTGCCTTAATCCAACTTGCTTATCAGTGACTGGGCATGCAAATGAGGCCACCTTAAACCATCCAGTCCCAACCAAGCCAGCCCAGACCAGTACAAGTGCCGTGGGATCATGAGAAATATTAAATATTTGTCATCTTCCATCATTTTCATGTTACCAGGTCATTTTGAGGGCTTTGTTCCATGGCATAAACAGGTACACCTGGCTACGGTGGGTTAAACAGGGGTTTTTACACAGTAAGAGGTACAGAGGGGGGCATTTCAGGCGTGGCACAGAGCTCAGGGATGCTGCCAGACACCCGCCAGGACTTTCGTGTCTTTAGTTGCATCGTCCTTGGACGTGGGCTTCAGCCTCTTGCTCGGTGCCTGGGGAATCCTCAAGATTGCTGCTCCAGCTCCGAGCCTGAGCTCCTGGCGTGAAATAGGAGGCTGGTCAAAGGACAAAGAGCAAAGTACTTTCTCCTACTGCTGAAGACGTGCCACCGCCTTCTTCTTCTCCTCCTCCTTCTCCTCCTTCTCCTCCTCCTCCTCCTCCTCCTCCTCCTTCTTCTTCTTCGTCTTAAAGATGTTATTTATTCATTTAAAAATTTTAAAAATTTTTTATTTTTTTATTTTTAAAGATTTTTATTTATTTATTTGACAGACAGAGATCACAAGTAGGCAGAGAGGCAGGCAGAGAGAGAGAGGAAGGGAAGCAGGCTCCCCGCTGAGCAGAGAGCCTGATGCGGGGCTCGATCCCAGGACCCTGAGATCATGACCTGAGCCGAAGGCAGAGGCTTTAACCCACTGAGCCACCCAGGTGCCCCTATTTATTCATTTATTTTAATTTTTTTTTTATTTGACAGACAGAGATCACAAGCAGGCAGAGAGGCAGGCAGAGAAAGAGAGGAGGAAGCAGGCTCCCTGCTGAGCAGAGAGCCCAATGTGGGGCTCGATCCTAGGACCCCGGGATCATGACCCGAGCCGAAGGCAGAGGCTTCAACCCACTGAACCACCCAGGTGCCCTTATTCATTTATTTTAGAGAGAGAGAGATTGAGAGTGCAAATGGGGGGAGGGGGAGGGCCAAGGAGAGGGAGGGGGAAAGAATGGTAAGCAGACTCTGTGCTGGGCACGGAGCTTGATGTCAGAATTCTGAGATCGTGACCTGAGCTGAAACCAAGAGATGGGCACTTAACGCACCGAACCACCCAGGCGTCCCAAGACTTGCCTTCTAGAAATAGAAGGTGAGCACCGCCCCCCCCCCCCACTTCGCCTACATGTCACTGGCGGGAACCGAGTAACATGGCCAGCTCTAGCGGCAGGGGAGGCCGGGCAGTCAAGGCGTTTAGGCGTCAGTCCATACAGTAGAGGAAGGTGCTGACTAAGGGGCTTGTAGTATGTGCTGCACCGTTCTCTGGGAATCCCGGTCTCTTGTCTTTCTTGTGCAGGATCTACCCCCCGCTTCTCTTTCTGAAGACTGGCTTTTGTTTCTCCAGCACACATGTGGGGAACCGGCCACCCCAGCCCTGGAACCGCATCAGGACTCTCAGCTCCAGGACCAACAAATACCTGGGTGGCATCCCAGCGGCAACCTTTCAAATGCCAAAGGCAAAGACGCGAATTAGCCCAGCTTGAGTTAGAAGAGGAAGCTGATTGGTCTGGTTTGGGGTGGGTACGTGCTGCTCAGACAATCAGGTGTGGTCAAGAGAGCAGCATGAGGTAGGGCAAACCTGACTGGTGCAGTAGGTGGTGGTGTATTCTCAGGGAAAAGGGGGCGTGGCTGAGGAGATACCGTTAAAACGATACACCCAGTTGCAGGAGCGGTGAGAAGAAATTGCCATCATGGGTTGTAACATTGATAGGATAAAAATTGACACGTCCGGAGCACCTGGGTGGCTCAGTGGGTTAAGCCTCTGCCTTTGGCTCAGGTCATGATCTCAGGATCCTGGCATCGAGCTCGGCACTGGGCTTTCTGCTCAGCAGGGAGGCTGCTTCCCACCCTACTCCCTCCCCCTGTCTTCCTCTCTGCCTACTTGTGAGCTCCATCTGTCAAATAAATAAAATATTTTAAAAAATTGACATGTCCTTGGAAGATGTAGAATATAGTGGAGTAACATGGGCATTGTATTTGACTTATCCAAATGCAAATATACATGTTTGACCAACAAAACACAACCTTTCCCACATGATTTGGCTTTCAAACATGAGCCACCTACCTGAATGGCTGCCTACCTAAGTGATCTTTTCTGGTGCTGGAGAAAAACTGGCTGTTTTGGACTTTGGGGATATGGTACAGTATAGGTAATACCATGATGTTCTTTATAGACATTTTCCAGGATTTTCAAGAGTATTTTTTAAAAAGATTTTATTTATTTGACAGACAGAGATCACAAGTAGGCAGAGAGGCAGGCAGATAGAGAGGAAGGGAAGCAGGCTCCCCACTGAGCAGAGACTCCGATGCGGGGCTCGATCCCAGGACCCTGAGATTATGACCCGAGCCGAAGGCAGAGGCTTTAACCCACTGAGCCACCCAGGCACCCCTCAAGAGTATTTTTAAGGTCAGGTAATGCTCACTTTCCCCACTGACTTTAGATCTTAGCCCTGTGTAAAATATACCTTCAATGAGATATCACATCGAGAACTTTTCCTATTTCCTTCTAGTTTTAATCAGTATAAAGAATCCATTTGGTTTTAAAATAGCAAAATAGGTTTATTGCGGCTTTTTAAAAATAAAAAAGAAATGATATTCATGACTTTCGGGTCTTCCTCCCATTTCATTCGGCAGTCCTGGCCACACCAGAAAGGCAGGAAGTGGACAGGTGGACGGGGTGAGAGCAGAACATGGGAGCAAGAAGAAGGAGGGTCTCTACAAACATGGTGATGAAAGGGTGTGTCCACCTGGACAGCGTGTTTCCTTCCGGGACCGGGTGCTTGGGTCTGTCCTCCTCGGGAGGCTGTCATCGCTCCCCTCGTGCAGTCAAATGGGCAGGAGGGGATGGGAGTCAGAAACTGGGTTCAGGACCCAGTTTTGAATTTAGTAGCTGCATGACTCTAGACAGGCAGTTTAACCTTTCTGGGCCTTATCTTCTTCCTCTGTAAAATGGGGATCAGAATACTATTAACCTCCCAGGGTCTGGCGGAGGATTAGGCGAGAAGCATTTTGAAGACTGCACAGTGCCACATAAATGTCAGTCATTATTACGGAAGCCATAAGAGGACTAGGTGTGCTAAATTTATTATAATAAACTTAGATATAAACGTGCTCTACCACGGCCTCGGCCTCGCCGTGAGGTTGCCGTTCCGTCCAGCGGCCCCAGGACACGTCTCGGGTTTTGCCAGTGGTGGGTTTCTTGTAGCTCCGCGGGGGTGGATGTGTGGGTATGCCACAGCTCGGGTGTGATGCGCCACATCATCGTGTCTACCAATCCTGGGAGCTTGGGCTTCAACCGTACATTCTTCATATGCCTGAGGATGTAAACATCCGTTAAGTCAGTCTAAAAAGAACCGCTATCCCTGCATGCTCCGTGATACAGCATTGTGCGAACACCAGTCTAGGTCTAGCGACATGCTAGGGTAACAACCTTTAAAGTCCTATGAAAGCAGCTTAGCATTTTGACACGCGAGAGTCACACACGTGACTCACGGAGGATCACGGAGGGTCGGATGGGATGATGTTTCTAGTTCCTGTCGCCAGGCTTAGAAAACAGAAGGCTCTGGCTGGATTTGCTAGATGAGTCTCTCTTGGGCATCTCCCTCTCTCGGTCCATCTTTGGGGCGGCTTTTCTGGTTCCAACCTTCAATGAGCAAGAAGAAACAAACACGCAAACTCTATAATTGTGGCAAGATCCCAAAATGGTCCACTCGGATGATTTTTTTTTTACTCAAAATAAAATGTTTGCTGTAAAAAGAAAAATTATATATAATTATAGAGAGAGAGGAGGAGGGAAGGGGGAGAGAGAGAAAGATGTGTAAAAAGAAGCTAAAATGATCCACAATGACCACTACCACCCAAAGGTAAGCGCGCTGCTGGATACACAAATGTTTCCCTTTTTACATTTTTGTGCTTTTGAAAGCAGGCGCTTCTTATGATGGGTGTATTCATTGTGACGGAGTTTCTTCTCCTGGAAAGCTCTTACTGAGCGCTGCGTGTCTTCTGTCTAGGCCTTTTCTGAGCACCGGCCCTCCTCCCGGCCTCCCCCCCCCCCCGCCCCCACCCCCCTGCCGGTGTGATGCTGCCCCTGGCCTCAGTTGATTGGATGCTTGGCACAGGCTGTGCTTTGCAGATGATCGAGCCCAGGATTTGGGGTTACAGGCTCTGAGATGTTACTGGGTCCCTGGGCGGGTCCTTTAAATGGCGGGATGGTGAGGTCATCTCTTCCAGTGAGATCACTGGAGAGAGATGAGCAGGTGCAGGGAGACCCAGAGAAGGAATATGGTGTGTGAGCTTGTGTGTGTGTGTGTGGGTGTGTGTGTGCGCGCATGTGAGGGAACAGATGCCTGGGACCTTGGGCTTACCAGTTCTCTTTAGAGGTGGGACCTCTTTCAATCCTTTGTTTTCATGACCCAGGGGTTCCTGTACCCCCTATAAAAGCGGCCCTCCCTGTTTCTGAGTAGGTTTCCCTACTCCCTCTCACACATGTGCCCATACTGTTCGTGGGATCATAACTCGAGTGTTTCTTTCCAGCAGGCTCCAGATCCAGCCCGACTTCCTGCAAGTGTCTGACTCCAGTCACAAAGTCTCATACCCCTGGGGGTAACCCGGGGAGGGGGGGCGGTTGGAGAGGGCTAGTGGGTTGTCAAGTTTGAGTTCAGCCACTTACTGCATGACTCTTGGTTTCCTCATCTGTCAAACAGGGACCAGAATATCCATCCTGACTTCCTCAGGGGCCCAGAGAAGATTCTGGGTGGATTTTATTTTATTTATTTTTTTAAAAGATTTTATTTATTTGTGTGAGAGAGAGAGCGAGCAAGTGCACAAGCAAGGGGAGCGGCAGGCAGAGGGGGAAGCAGGCTCCCCACTGAGCAAAGAGCCCAATGCGGGGCTCGATCCCAGGACCCTGGGATCATGGCCTGAATCCAAGGCAGACACTTAACGGACTGAGCCTCCCAGGCCTCCCTCTGGGTGGATTTTAAAGGAAGGGACTGCCAGGACTGTCTCTTCAGCCCTTTTCACTCAGGAGGTATAAAAATCACCTCTGAGGCCTGTGCCAGCAGCTGACAGGGGGCCTTGAATGTGCTTTGAGACTGCATCCAAAATCATTTGAGGGTGAGAAGGGCTAGCTTCTCTACACGAGCCTGCAAAATAAATCTTGGAGTGCCCAGTGAAAATGAAAACAGACAGCGAAGGCCAAAAAACCTCCCCCAAACTACCTTTCCTTCATATCCCTTTTTATTTGATTTTCCATAAAATGGCTGGCTATGGATGATTCCCAAATTCCAGTGCCCTGACCGGGGGAGAAGCCAGCCTTCAGAGCTGGAGCCAGGGGGTTGGTTAAAAATAAAGAGTACCCAGGCCCAACATCCTTAGCCCCCAGGTCTGCCAGGAGCATGGGGTGGGGGATGGAGGTCACAGAGGGCAGAGGGATGACCTGGGAAGAGGACGACAGTGGGGCGTGTCAGGGGAAGTGCTGGGAAATCCCGCAGCACCCTCCCTGAACAGGGACCAAAGGTGAGTGCCATGCCTTAGGTTTCTGTGTCTGGGAACCACACGCCTCACCCTTGGAATGGAAGGGCAGGGATGGGGCGCCTGGGGGGCCCAGTCTCAGGTTGTGATCCCAGGGTCCTGGGATCGCGTTCCGCGTTGGGATCCCCGCTCAGGAGGGAGTCTGCTTCTCCCTCTCCCTCTGCCCCTCCTCACCACTCGTGCTCTCTCAGGCTCACTTTTTCTCTCTCAAATAAACAAATTAGATCTTTAAAAAAAAAAAAGGTCAGCGATAGAAACTGGGTCATTACATGGTGACACCCAGGTGGAAATGAACTCAGGACATGCTGGAGAGGCCGCTTCCGGGGACTGCGAGGTCCAGAAAGGCCCCACCCAGCCTCAGGGCTTGGTTTAAGCCGCTCCTTCTGGGGAGGCCTCTCCTGGCCCCTGGACCGAGTGTGTCCTTGTGAGATCGGCTCCTGAGCGCAGGCAGCTGACCTTTGGTCCCAAAGCGTCGTGTGCGATGATTAATTCATTACTGTATTTACTGGAAAAAAAAATGCCCAAGAATGGAAGCTAGAAATACAGGGGATTTTCGGTGTCTGTCCTCTGATTTAAGCCCGCATTGCTCCCCCTTGTTCTCATTATTGTCCCAGACTAAGGAGCCTCCTCAGACTCCCATTTCCTAGTTGCTCCTGTCCCTATGAAATTTTGACAGATACATATGCTTTACACATTACAAAAATTATTTTTGTCCTCTCAGGGGGGATCCTGCCCCCACTGAGAATTCCTGATTGAACCCAACGCGTGGACAGTACCCACCATGTTGTAGGCGCTCAGTCAATATTCCTGGAATGAATGAGGGCTGGGACAGGACCTGTTTGTCCGCTCCTCCTTCCCCCTGCCCATGGCCGGTGGCACGGACTAGGCAGCCAATAAATACAGGTTAACGACAAGATGTCCTCTTCAGCATACGACACCCCAAACCACTATAAACTCCTTTTAGCTGCCACAGAAATCAATATACAATCACTGAATGGCATTAGGAAGGACAGAAAACAGAAACCCAGAGCCTTTCACGGAGGGAGGAGGCTTGCCAGGCATGGAGACTCTTTTTCTCAGAGGGCAAGAGTGAAAAGCAGATTTTACGGGTCCTGTCTTTTCCAAGGGGCTCATGGCGACCGCTATCCTCTAAAGACTCCAGGGACACTGTAGAGGAAGGGGAAGCCCAAGCCGCACTGGGTCAGGACCACGAAGACCCTTCCGAACCGAGGAGATCCTAGTCACCAAACCTCTCAGCGGTTCCTTCCTGCTCCCGGCTCAACCCTACTGGTGGGTGAGTAAGTGACAAACCCGTCACTCGTTCCCACCTGGCAGGCTGGCGAAGGTCTCTGAGCTAGGGGAGCCCTCAGGACCCTCTCTCCTCTTCACATCCTGCTCTGGGTGGTCACCACCTCCCCGAATTAGAAAAAGGGTGTTGGTTGAGAAGAGGTTTCTATTTTCCCAACATGTCCCTTACCTAGAATATCTTCAGGTTTTTTTTTTGCTGATAATTTTGTAGTCTCAGAATTATCGTGACCTTTTTATCAAACGCGAATGTGGCTCCTACTATTTCCCTGCCGCGTGTTTGGCTCTCGAGCCTCCTGAGAGCTCACCTCCACTTTCTGCGACGTGGGAATGCGCTTGGGTCAGTTCCAGCTCCAGGGCTGGATTGTGAATGGCAGTGTTTCAATATGTTTAAAATTTCAGAGTCTTGATTCCCAGCTCTTAAAAAAAGAATGTTGTAGGGATCCTTCCTTGCAATTCAAGAGACAAGGCGCCTGAAATGTATCAGGTTTTTTAACCAGAGGGCGATCACCTAAAGGAGGGGAGGCAGGGCCCACCTGGGTGTTCAGATCGGCCTCGAGTTCCAGCTCTCTTACCTAGCTGCGCGGCTCTGGACGAGTAACGAGAGGTCTCTGAGTTTCAGACACCTCCTCTGCTAATGGGGGACTAACAATGCGTAGTACCCCGAGTGCTGTGGTGAAGACTGAGAAGCGCTGGTGCCTGGCCGTACTAAATGCTCAGCGCGTAACGGCGGGTGTGTGTGGGGGTCTTATTGTCAACCTGGTTTCCTGCAGAAGTCCTACTGCTTCCTTTCTCCTCCCAGCTCACCTGGGGACTTGAATTCTGCATCTTGTTCTTCACCGTCTCTACAAACATTCGTCTCTTGAACACAGAAAGAATATCGACAACGTTTAGCTTGTTTTCTTCTTTCCCTTTTGCATCAGAGGAAAGTGGTTCCCCTGCCCCCTCCACTTTCAGATGTTGCCCATTTGGATGGACTGTTGGGCCTTCCTAGGGGTGGGGCGTGGGGTGAGCATGTGCCTCTGAGGAAGGAGGCCTGGCTTTCCCGCGGCCACACTGTCCTGCTGGGCTCCTTAGGGATGTCTGTTCTGGATTCCAGGGGATTCTGAGAGGGGGAGCCTTGTCAAGCAAGGTTCCCTGGAGGATTACTGCCATCCTCCTGCGGGACAAGTCAGCTTTGGGTAGAAGCAGAGCCTCCTAGATCAGGGGAGGGGCTGAAGACGTGGGTTTCTACCTAGGATCCCAGTGGCCCGGGCGTGAGGAAGCCGCAGTGGCTGACCTCCCCGTCAGGGGCTGCGGGTGCCTGCTGGGGAGTCAGTCTCCTGGCGAATCTGGAGCTCGCCCTTCCCCTGAGGTTTCATGACTGCTGCTGACCCTGGTCTCCTCAAGACCCTGCATCTCAGGACAGTTCGCTGAGGAAGGAGCGTGTCCTAGGCGCTGGGCACCCGATAGAGAGCGTGAGCTAGGGCCTCCCTCGCAGACTGACACTCCAGCAGGTGATGGGGCAGGGGTGTCGGGAAGGGGGTGTCTCTCAGAGAGTCCTGAGTCCTGCAGGAGGCTCCAGCCAGACGCCTACAGGGGCTGGGGAACTAACAGCAGTGGGTGGAGTGAGCTGGGTGGGGAGGGTGGCAAACCCACAAGCCCAGGGCCTTTTGAAGGGGCCTGGAGATGACAGCTGTGGGACTGCGGGCCTAGAAGCCCCAGATCTTCAAAGTTGCACAGAGAAGCCAGAAATCTAGAGTATTTTGTGAAAGTGCCCTAATTGGAAATGTTACTTAAAAAAAAAGACACCCCCCCCCCCAAAAAAAGAAAACCCATGAGCCAAATGAAATGCCTCTGTGGGCTGCCATTCTGTGACATCTGCTTCAGAGCCTGCCTCCTTGGCTTCTAGCGGGGGCTCCGTCATAGCGGCGGGCGGACTTGCCAGATGAAACACGGGGTGCCCCATCAAACTTGACTTTCAGAGTGCGAAGGAATAATCTTTTTAGTCTAAGTACATCTCATGCAATATTTGGGGCATACTTGTACTAAATAACTATTTGCTGTTTATCTGAAATTCCAGTTTAACTGGGCGTCCTGTTTTGTTTTCTTGCCCCTACATCTGGCAAGTCTACGGGATATTCACAAAAGTCATGGAGGAAGTGTGCAGGGAGGCCGCAGCTCGCCATCTTTTGGAGAGGGCATGGGTACTTGGAAGTCTCTTCCGTTCCCAGAAAAAGGGTGCCAAGTTGCCCTTAAAGCAACCGTCTACGAAGGCTCAGGGGCTGTATTTAACTGAGTCGCCCTCTGGCCTGCAGCCACTCAATATTTATCACAGGCTCCGCTGAGAGGAGCTAAGCTTAGAAGACAGCCACCAACCAAATTCCCAGGTAGCTGTAAAGCAGTAATTTTTAAGCCAGCAGCCTCCCTTCCTTTTTTCCATCCCCACCCCCCGCAGAATGCTTTAAGCAAAATCCCATGAGGAACGTGGCATATGAAGCAGGTAAAGGAGAACTTTTCTGGGAGAAACAAGAACAATGTGTATGTGTGGGGGGGTAGGGTGGGGGCGATGCTGAGAATCACACTCTTCTATGGCACCCAGGGGCTCTAGGGAACCCCAGTTTGAGCACTGCTCCAAAATGTTTTCCTTGGATTAAGTCTAGCCAGTGGATGGCTGGACACTGAAGGGCAGATCCTGGCCCCCCTGGACACCTGCTTTTCCTGAACTCACTGGGCTATAATGACATCAGTCTGTCTCAAGAGCTGACCTCAGACGTGGCCCAGCCAACATTACACCGTTCTTCTTAGGGATGTTGTTCCTTATATCATACACTGTCCTCTCCAGGGGAAAATCCAGTACCACCCGTATTCTAAGAACACTTCTGAGCATTGCCTCCCTGTAGCTCACGGACACTGCGAGCTCGGGGTCTGTGAACTCCAGCTCCCACTGGCTGCCGGAAAACCCAGTCAGGTGTGGCCTCCCCCTTGGCAGGTAAGAAGGTTGTTCGAGTTGGCACCTTCCTCCTCACCCCCGGCTCTATTTTGTGGCCACTTTCCTCCCCTTCTTGCACCAGCTTATTTCATTCTAAGGGCAGGGTCCTGGGACTCCCCACTCCTCTCTTCTTTTCTTATGACCTGGCTCCAAGTCCCCGGGTCACTTAGCGCTCAGGGAGCTTGCTCTGCCAAAACCGCACTTGACCTTCCCCGGGCCTGACCTCCAGATAGTGGGCTGGAGGCCTGCCTGTGTCTCAGGTTCATTTGCTCTGACTGCAGGTAAGGGAGGGGCAGGTGCGGGGGAAGGGGAGGGGGTGGAGGTGTGTGGGTGCTCCTGGCACAGCACAAGGGGCTTGTACCCCCACCAGGTTCTACCCTGTGAACATGCTGTATCTACCTTGTGTCGCTGTGAGAGCAGAAGACCTCTCCATACCTGCCTCTCTTTCTCTTTGAAGGAACAGTTGCAAGGTGTTGATTCTTTTGCATTTTTCTGTTTGTGATCCTCTAAACGTTCCTGAGTGAAAATAGCAGGTGAGCAAGAGAGCGTTCAATGTGTCTGGTCCTGTTCCATTCTGGGACGCACCTCCGAGGTTTCTGGGAGACCCTGGGGCTCACTGGAGTTGGTGGGCAGTGGATGAAGGGCAGGGAGGGCCCCCACCCCCTAAATACCCGCAGTACCGCCCTAACCACGTTTTACTTTCTCGTCCTCGCGTGGGCCAAAGGGTACCACCCCTACCCCTGCCTACCCCCGGCCCCACACTACACACGACCTACCGATTTCTAGTTCTTGGTCAAAATCAAGCAAGTGACACTGAGCTAATCTGGGTCTTGAGAATGCCTGGGCCCAAGACAGTTTTGGAAGATCCTGATTTAAATAAGATAGTGATGACATCGAGGACGTATAGGCGCTCGTGTTGAGTAGTTCTGTGTGCTCAGGACCTCGCATCCATTCTCCCCTTGAAGCTAACACACTGAGTGGGGTGCCGCCTTTACTCCCACCTTCCAGATGAGGGATCTGAGCTAATTAAGCACAAGGAAGGTCCAGCCCCACCAACGTTGTGGCCACGCCCCTTGGCCAGGATCTGATTGGCTGTAGGCTTGATTGGCAGGAGAACTGAGGAGCTTCCCCAGCCAGACTCGAGCCTTTCTCACACTTGAAGTCCTAATAAAGGGCGGGGAAGGGGAGTGCGTGCTTCCAAATGGCAACTTCTGTGCATTTAAAAATTCCCTCTTGAAAATTCCAGCTTTAACCCGTTCATAAAAAAGATCTGAGCTCTTCTTGGCCGTAGCCCTGGCTGTATTCACCAGCTGTAAAGGAGCTTCGCAGAAGAGCCGCTGGCTCCAGGCGGCCCGGGAGAGCGCCTTGGGGTCTGTGGCCAGTGTCCCGGGCAGGAAGCTCTCGGACAGAAATGCAGGCCTCTCCCCACCTGTCCGAAGTTGTCCTTTCTCTCCCCCATAGTAACCATGCTTGCTAGGCACCAGGATCTGTCGACATTATGTCACTTAACCCTCTCCGTCTGGTTGTTATCGTTTTTGGCGGTGGTTGTCCCGGACTTTGAGATCCAAGGGTCACTTGGGGCCAGAGGTGGGGCTTAAACCCTCTTTGTCAGACTCCCGGACTCCCGAGGCTGCCTCTGAACTGAGAGTCACAGCTGCCTTATCTAGTGATGTGGGAAGTGGATGAGACTGAGCACCGCCTGGGCCACTGTCATTGTCCCTCCTGTCGCATGGAGGGAGCTCGAGTACAGAGTGGATGAACGCAAGGTTCTCTGGGAATGCCCAGCCCTGAAGCTTTCATATCTAGTCTCACCATCACAGCCAAAGGTATGAGCGTGGAAGTATGATTCCAGGAAGTTCAGCTTGGTGAAGAGATGTTCAAACATGCAAACTAAAAACTACATCTTACTTTGAAAAACATTTTTTTTTTTTTTCTGAGGGTACTGGTTTGGAGCTCAAAGGGAGTAATTTCATTACCTAGTGGTTCAACCACCGCTTCTCTATGAATGGGTGAACTTTTATACATGAGACTGGAAACATTAAGGGTCCTTGTGAAAATGTTAGGTGTAAAACTTAAAACAAAAAGGAATCCCATTTTCCTTGAACTTCCATTTAAAGGACGGCTATACTCCTTGGCAGGAACTGTGGCCAAGACAGACATATCAATTTCCCTTTAGAATCCAGCAAAACTTTAAAATTTACGGGTTTTTATTTCCCGACACACAGGAATTTCTGACAACGTATTAATAACAAACCTTAAATGTGAATCCAAGCCCTGGAATGAAAACGGCAGGAACGATGGCGCATGGAGGATGAAGGGAGGGAGGCTCCTAGAAAGGGAGATGCAGAGAGCACCAGGTGTGGAGAAGCAGACTGGAGTTGGGGAGGGCACGTGGCTGGGGGGGGGGTAGTCCCCTTTCTGTTGAGGGGCAGCGAGGTGACGCTGCTCTCTGCCAGCCTCTCTGAATGGGCGGCTGGGCGCCAGCATCCCTCGAAGGGTCCATGAGAGAGATGAAGCGTGCAGTGTGGGGCAGGTGCCCGCCACTTGGGAAGTGCTAGTGAACGGTGCCATCAGTGCAGCCGTGATTGTGGCTATAGTTTTCATAACCTTTCCCTAAATTGTGAAGTTCCTAAATTTGAATGTTCCCAGCTCCAGCTCTTCTGGGGGCACAAAGGCAGGTTCAACTTGGCTGTCTTAGACCCTCCCGCACAGAAGGAGGTCTAGTGTCCAATAGGCTGGCAAGGCCCTTGCATTGTGCGTGAATGAGGCAGCTCATGAATAATGCATGCAGAGCCTGATTATGTAAATCCGCAGGTTTCCTTACATTTTTAGCCAGCACACGACAATGGCCTTTTTTGGGCCCTTTGCTGTCCCATTCTGTGGTCTGGTGTTTCGGCTTTGGGGACTAGCCTGCCAAGTCCTGGGGAGGACCGGGATGGGGGGGGGATCTGAGGGAGGGGTGACCTCTCCAGAGGGCACATCAAAGGAAAAGTCGGAGCTCTGTCACTGGCCCAGCTCTCCCTGACTTTGCGTGGTGTGAAAGGAAATTGTCCTTCGCCTGAAGCCTGTGATGTTTAATTCAGAGCCATGGATGCTAGAAACCCCGCATCTGGGCTCCCTGAGAGCAGGGTGGCTGCTTTCATCTCCAGGGCTACAGACCAGGGAGCCTGTTGTCCGGAGGGTTTGCAGGATACAGGAAGGCAGCCTCCTGCAAGGAACCGATCTAACCGGCGCCTCCTGGTTGGGGAAGAGGCATCCTTCTAGAGCCTTCTGTGGCTTGGCGTTCTTAGAGCTTATGCAGGCAACACACACATAAACACGCACACATGCAGACGCACACACAAACACACACACAGAAACACACAGCGCATACACGTGCACACTTCTATACTCCTGCACACATGCCAGCACGCATGCGCAAATACACAGCCCTGAGTCAGGAAAACCAATGTTTACAAGAAGAATGGAGAGAGGCCAGCAGAGAACACAGGAACTAGGGTCAGAGGTCCCGGGGCTGGGTCTAGCTCCGCTTACCAGCGACAGTGTGAACTTGGGCAAGTCTCTTAACTTTCCGAGGCTCGGTTTCCTCATCTGTAAAAGGGGGTCATCAGAGCAACCCGGCCAAGCTACCAAGGCATTAGTAACCCCAACTGGGGCGGCAAGGCCCAGGGGGCGCCCGGTGCCTTTGGATGGTCATGAGATGGCAGCTGTGGTAATTTTCCTTGTTTGCCTGATCTTAGCCTTGAGACCTGCTCTACCTCTGGCAAGAGTTAAGAATGAGGGAGAGTCTGGTTGGGAAATGGGTGCAGGAGTGAGGGCTCCTGGGTATAACCTGCAGAGAAGACAGGAGAGCCACTCTGCCGACCACCGGGCTGGCTCAGGTCTGCTGGGGCACTTCCAAAGCGTTTGTTTGGGTGCGGGTCATGGTGCCTGGTTGTCAGCCGTGACTCTCCTGGGTCTGAGGCAAAGCCTGCCCCGGCCACCACAAGGGCAGTCCTCTGGCCACGTGGAGGACAGCAGCGTCCACCTGCCAGGGCCAGGCCCTGGGCTGATGCTTTAGAGGCAGCACAAGTGTCCCTCAGCTTCTAAAACCACATGGCCCGTGAGTTCACCTGGCAAGAGCTTGGACAGGGAAGGTGCCTGGCTCGCGAGCAGCCCTTCCCAACAACCCTGCAAGGCAGGTACCCTCAGCTCCAACTCCCGGTGAGGAAGCAAGGCTCAGAGAGGGGACTGGATTTGCATGAAGCCACAGAGTTAGCGAGTGGGGGGATCTGAACCCAGGACTGACTCCTGTGCCGCGTGACAGAGGAGATAACAAGGCGAGGGGTGGAGGTGGCTTGGGGCTGGATCATCAGCCTGAGTCTCGAATCTTGGTTTCTCAAGGCGATGTTTCTACCCAGTTCATGCTGTGAGACAGATCTCTCCTCCTCCTGTCTTTCCTCCGGGGTTCCCAGAGCCCGGAACACACACCCGCCCATGCCTCTGGTACACACACTCTGACTCTCCTTTGCAAATCGGTGTAAGTGTCACCACTTGGAAAGCATGCCTGGAGTGCTCTGGGCTGGCTGGGTGCCTGCCTCTGGGTGCCACAGCCTGAGCACCTATTAGGCAGGGACTTTAAATCCTTAAATCATCCTGAAGTCAGCTCTCTACCTGTCTGTTCTGCACTAAAGAATCTGGTCTTCAAGGACATCCATCCATCATCCACCCATCCTCTATCCATCCATCCGATATTTACTGGATGCCACCTATGTTCCCAGCACTCAGAACAGTGAACCCAAATCTTAATTCACAGATCTCTTGTTCATCTATGTATCCCTACCACCTGGAAGAACCTAAAAATTCAAACAATAGCTACAATTTAAAAAGATACAGATGAGCTAGATTGTGAGTTTCAGAGAGGTTGAGGAACCCACCTGGGGTGACACAGTAAGTGGTAGAGCTAGGATCTGATGCTAGGTGCGTCTGAGATGCTAAAGCCATTCTGTCGTCTCTCTTTGCCTCAGCAGATGCATTCTGTGCTGCCCGCACCCTCTGGGCCCTCCCTTCACTGTTTCTAAAGGGAGCCAAGGGGCCGCAGCCTCCGAGGTTCGGCCCCAGGCCAGAAGCCCTCACCTTCTGCTGCCGGATGGCCCTGTTGATCCGCTTCTCCTGGTGCAGCTGGTGCTCTGTGCGCTCCAGAGCTTCCTTCAGCAGAGCCTTCTCCTCCGCCTCCTTGTAGATGCTGTCCTCCAGCTTCGCCATCTGCGACTGGTACATCTGCATGGACACTTTGCTCTGCCTGAGCGCACGGGACAGACACAGTTGGTTTTCCCCTCCTCTTTCTCAACTGTGTCCCCAACCTGGGAGGGTCTCAGAACGCTTCTGTCTGTGGCTAACTTGGTGGCTTCATGGCGAGCAGATGTGGGGCGTAGATAGTAGAATGAATAGCCCACTGTGTACTAGTGTAGCAGGAGGGTATGCCGCCAGACCCCCCCATTTCCCAGGGAGGGCACAGGGGAACTGCGGCCACTGGAATATGTAAGGGGAGCCCCAAGTCAAGATTCGTAAGAGGTGCAGCTTGTTCGTGGAGAGACAGAACGAACACTGAGCACCTTGGCCGCTGCTTTCTCATGGACAGACTTGCCTCTGTCGGGCCCTAGTCATCGCCCCCCGCACCTGCAGCCTCTGCTCCCCTCCCCCAAGTCCTCTGCCTGGCCCGGACCTGTGTCTGGCCCTGCCCTGAGGTTCAGCCGTGAGAACGGACAGCTGGCCCTTTTTGCGCGGTACCTGAGCTGTTCAATGTCTTTCTCGTATCCTCTCAAAAGCTCCTCTTTTCTCTCCAGCCGGTTCTTGAGTTGGGTGATCTTATCGAACACCAGATCGAGGTCCCTTTGTCGGAGCTGGTTGACTCTCTCTCTCTCTTTGGCAGAGAGGTATTTCATGGATATGTGACCGGACATGTCCTTGATGTTCATCAGACTCCCAAGTGTCTTGCTCATGTCCATGTACTGTAAGGAAAGCGTTGGCTGGTAAGGGGCCTGGCCCAGGCTGCTGGTGGCTGCTTTGAGGAAGCCAACATCTAATTCTGTGTTGTTCATTCTCTGCAATGCACAGCTGTGCTTGGAAGCCAGAGCCGCTGGGCTTTGCAGTAGGACTTTCATTTACTCCACATCCCTTTACTCTATGCCTTTTTGAGAACCAGGAGGAAAAGTGACAGCAGGCATAAACATTCATTCTAACTGCTTAGTTTTTCAAGGAATTGGACTATGCCATGTCTGACCCATGCTGGGAGAGTAGATGGGTCTTGCGGAGCTATTATTACAACTAAATACACGTGTGAGGTTGCTGTTTAGTTATGCTCTCCGGAGGTTAACGGTGACTGTGGGGGACCCAGTTTGGGATGGGAGGGGACGGTGCTGTAGGTACCTACCAGCTTTTCACTGAGATCTAAAGCCTCAGCCACATCCATTTTCCCTGACTTTTCCATGGGCGGGACGGCTGAGTTGGCAAGGCCACTCTGAGGCTGAAATGAAAAAGAGGTGAAAACTCCCTTGGCAAGCCATTGTGAATGTCTCTGTCCCGGAGCTAAAACACCGTGGTTACCAAAGAATGACTCGAGAGAGCTGATTTTCGCTTCACTTCCTGACCAGCCCGTCTGATTCCTCTGTCAACTGTTTTCTGGTAACTGTGCTCCCACCCTTCAGAGCGGGAGTCTCACTTGCCTTGTTCTCTGGTTACTTACTGTCTGTCTTCCCTCTGGACCAGCGGCTCTCAGTCAAGGGGGATTTCGTCCACCCTCCCCTGCACGCCCCAGGACCTTTGTCAATGCCGGGATACATTTTGGTTGTTGCAGCTTGAGGTGGGGAGTGCTACTGGCATCCAGAGGGTGGAGGGCAAGGATGCTGCTAACCATCCCACAGTACATACGATGGCCTCCCAAACAAAGAATTATCTGCCCCCAAATACCCATAGTGCTCAGGTTGAGAAACCCTAGTCTAGATGACAAGCTTCATAAAAACAGAGGTCGTGCTGCTCCTTGCTCACTATTCCATTTCTTGTGCCCAGCATGGCACCTGACACAGAGTGGCAGAGAAAATAGCTTTCCTCCTTTTATTAAAGGAATCTCATTTTTTAGGCAACAGAAAATATACTGTCACCAAATTTGGCCAAACCTTCTCCCAGTGCTGGAAGCTGCTGGCCGAGCATCCCTTCAGACCCACTCCAGAAACAATGCCCAATGGTGTTCCCAGCTGTGTGCTCACGACCACCCTCTCAGCCAGCTGGCTGCTGAAAGTCCCTACTGACTGGACGGAAAAGCCACCAGACCCATCAGGGAGTCTGAAGGACCACAAATAGCTATAATAAATCTCCCTAAAAAGCAAACTGGGTTTTAAGTGCTCGCCACGAGCATCTCTTGGCCCGCAGCATTTGCTGGCACTCCACTGTAAACCTCTGAGATGAAAAAAACCCAACTATAAAAATGTAAAGGCTCAGAAAGTGATTATGATAGACAAGTGTGGGCTATTTGTCTCTATGTCTGTAGCGCAGAGCATGAAGGAGGGGATCTGACAACGACAGAGCATGAACTACCACTCAGCATCTCCAGCCCTGGGTGGTGTCCTCTGTACCCCGCTCCGGGGTCCCCTTCTTTTCCTGATGGTGACCTAAGGCAGAGTCTAATCTACAACGTTCGATCACACAGTCCCCGTGCCCTTCTCTGCAGACTAGCAGGGAGCTAGACACAGGCCTGGGTCCATCAGTCATTATGCTGTGACCTTGGGTGACATACTTGGCTGCCTGAAGTCTTAACTTTTCTTATCTGTAGAATGGGCATTATGATAGTAACCCCAACACAAGGCTGTTGGGAGGGCCGAATGATAAACGATGGCTTAGCCCAGATGTCAGCGAGCCTTCCTCCTACTCCTTCTCTTCTTTTAATTTCCATTATTGGCGACCTTGGAGGATTGAGGCCTTCTGAGCGGGCTGGGGGCTCTCCTGCTCTGTGGTGTTGGTCGTGGCATAGGGTCAGTGCTAGGCGGGAAGGTAAATCTTGGAAGCAGGTCAGGATATGAGAGCCCGCTGAGCTCCCACCTGGAGACTGCCCCTCTACTTCTAACCTCAGAGCACGAGAGCTTATCCAGAAGCCAACACATTCCTGAAGACCCACACCCCTAGCAAGTGTCTGGAGAGACTGTGCAGGGGAATGTTGGTACAGCATGATGACGTTACGGCTTCTGAAAGCCCCTGCCTGGTTTAGGTCCCCCTGTGGCAGCAAGCCGTGCCCAGCGGGTTCTGTGATTGACGCTGACCCGAGGTGTCCATTGTCAAGTGTCAATTAATCAGGCGCCCATCAAATATCCACTTAGGGTGCAGGGCACCTTCAACATAACAGTCAAATCACTTCTGAAAATCCTAGCAAATAAAACTATTTCCCTTAAGAAAGGAAGCTTTTCTCGAGGGACACTATCTAAATATCACTAAACAATCCTAACAGCGATCACTTATTAAGTGTTTGCTGTGAGCCAGACGTGGGGATAAGCACTTAACCCAGCCACCTCTAGGAAGGCTAGGAGCCCACCCGAGGTCATGCAGGTGGCCAGGCTGGCATTCTGACACGGGTCCCTCTGTAGTCTCTACGGCTACTCTTTATGTGTTCATGCTTCTCGGTTTGCTGTGAAAAGCAAACTTCAGGCAAACTCATGGCACAATGTTAAAAATCAGCCTGTTGAATATTGCCTGCAAGATATATATAACACATCACGTGGAAAGGAGGGCCCGCCAGACACCACTCTGGACCACTGTCAGTACCATGATTTAACACGCTGGGCATGAATGGAAAGCAACCTCTCTGTTCAGACCTGGGGCTGCTGGTTCGGCAAAGCCCCGAGCAGGCGGTGCAGACACTGGTCTCCCAGGGAGGCCTGGCCCCGAACCACTGACGTGCGCGGCCGTGCCAGGGCACCCGGCTAGCGTCTGCCCTCGCGCCCACCCTCTCCACGTGTCACTGCAGAGAGAAACGTTCTTTGGTTACCGCTGCAATCTCTATTCTTGAGAGAGTTGGCATATCAGGTTTTGCGTCCAATAATTTCTGGACATTTTTTTCCATTCTGACCGTCTTTAAGTCTAGATAGGATTCAGTCAGCGGGTCCTTATGATCTATAAAATAAATAATTGAAAGTTTAAAAAAAGGGTCAGGAAGAAGTTATTGCATGTAATAATCACAGTTGCCGGGGCGCCTGGGTGGCTGTGGGTTAAGCCTCTGACTTCAGCTCACGTCATGATCAGGGTCCTGGGATCGAGCCCCGTGCTGGGGTCCCCGCTTAGCCGGGAGTCTGCTGCTCCCTTTCCCTCTGCCTCTCCCCTCACCAGTTCACGCCCCCCAACCCTCTTAAATAAATAAAGTCTTAAGAAAAAAATCACAGGGCGCCTGGGTGGCTCAGTGGGTTAGGGCCTCTGCCTTCGGCTCGGGTCATGATCCCAGGGTCCTGGGATTGAGCCCCGCATCGGGCTCTCTGCTCAGCGGGGAGCCTGCTTCCTCCTCTCTCTCTGCCTGCCTCTCTGCCTCCTTGTGATTTCTGTCTGTCAAATAAATAAATAAATCTTTAAAAAAAAAAAAAGAAAAAGAAAAAAATCACAGATGCTGTTTACTGGACCTTTCTGCAGGCCCGCGCTGATCTCCACCACCCTCCCTTGGCAGGTGAGAAATAGGCCTAGACAGGTAAATGGCTTGTCCAAGGTCACACATAGCTAGTAGGCGGTTGGGGCCTCTCAGGAGCCAGTGCCGAGACATGGAGGGTGAACTCTCAGCCACAGGAACAAGGATGGAACTTGAACCCCGGCTTCTGGGTCCTAGCCCAGCACTACCCCCAGCAGCAGGTGCAGTGTCTTGAGAATGCCAACCCTTCTAAACAGAGTATTCTAGGAGGTTCCCCAAGGCTAATCCTTGCACTGTTAGTCCATGACAAAGTTCCCACCAGGCCACAGCGAAATAAGAAAAAGGACAATGTGGTGAGTTTTTCATGAAATCCCATTTATTTAAGATCAAGGCTTGCCCTTGACTCTGAGATCATGCCTGCCATCTTTCCTTGTATTACAACGTCCTTTCGGTTATGAAGTGATGGGACAGAAGACGGTGGTCCTGGCCGGGTGTCAGTGCCCAGAGTGACCTCTAGAGCCTGGGGCTCAGGGATCTGAGCAGGGAGAGGGAGACCAGCAGGGAGAGCACTTACTTGATGAGCAGGCCTTCTCAAGCTCCTTAATTCGTGCACGCAGTTCAGACAAGGCCTTTTTCTGACGCTGAATGATTTCCTCATGTCGGGACCCTTTGCACTTGGCCCCTAGATCACTGAAGGATTGTTCCTGTAGCCAGAATGGTGCAGAGGACAGCTCTGTTAGGGGTCAGAATCTCTCTCTCCCTTATATTCCAAGAAACATGTACAACTCATGACTAGCAGAGACCCTGTCACTTAGTACCTTGGAAGCTACTGTAAGGGGAGTCAGCACAGAAGGAATTTAAATTTTTCATTTCAAATATAAAGTCACATCTAGGAAGACTTCCAACTCTCTTACCTACTTAGCATATCTATGAATAAAACCCCTCTCTGTGTTCCCTCCCCGTGTTTTATATTTTCTTCTAATATTCTTCTAAGCTTGGGTTTCCATTTGTTGTCATTTGGGTCTTGCATCAGAATAATCACATCAAATTCTGCTCCAGGAGAGGCATTTTTAGATAAGAACACATGGTACTTTCTTCTTGACTGCCAATAAGGATGGCTCTTTAATATTTGCTAGGGGGAATTTGATAGATTGGCTCCCGGTTGGTCTGGAGAAAGGGAGACCTTCCTGTGAGACTTCTGGAGGTTCTACTGTCCAACAGAATTTCCGGGATGAGGGGCAGGTTCCACTTCTTGCACTCTCCAATATGCCGGCCACCAGGCACAGAGCTAGCATAGAGCTTATGAAGGGCATAGACAAGGAGAGGTCTTCTCTCTCTTTTAAGGGTCATGTGCACCTTTCAGATTTAGAAGAATGGAAGGTTGCAACTTTTGGAAAAATTCCCAGCGTCACAAAAATTTGCATACGGGGTGTCTGGGTGACTCAGTTGGTTGAGTGTCTGACTCTTGATTTTGGCTCAGGTCATGATCTCAGGGTCCTGGGACTGTGCCCTGCATCGGGGTCCTCACTCAGTGGGGAGTCTGCATGAGGATTCTCTCTCTTCCTCTCCCTCTGCCCCTCCCCGCTGCTCTCTCTCAAATACATATTTTAAAAATTTGCATACAGATTCTGGAGGTTCAGGGCCCCCTGAAGCCCAGTAATAGACTCTATGTGTCACATGGGCTCTGTGAGAGCAAAGTCTTCTGTCTCCATTGGAGACTCTGGTGTTCCCAGGGCCCACACTGTGCCCAAGCTTAGTAGTTGGTTAACAATTATGGAGCCTGAATGAAATGAGGTCAGAAACAGGAGTAGGAAGGAGCTTGTTCCAGCTTTCTGGCTGGGACCAGGGCTCAGCAGCAAAAGGAAGGGGGTTCTCCACCCGTGGCTGCATTCAGTAGGACCTCACTTGACCCTGACACTGTCTTCAGCCTGCTGATAGTCTCTGTGGCTGGTCCCCTCTTCTCGGGTTGATTCTACACTGACCCTGCTGTCTTTGAGGATGTATGTTTGCCCCTGGAATGGGTGTGTGTGTGTGTGTGTGTGTGTGTGTGTGTGTGTGTGTGTGTGTAAGAGTGTGGAGGGGAGGGGAGGGTCTACTGACCTGTGGGTGGGGCAGCCACAGCAGCAAGGCTCGGTGACGGCCGTTATTCTATCTGCAGAGTATGCCTGAGCTCGATGTGACCCTTATTCAGTGCTCTTCTGGGAATTTGTTTATTTAGAGAAGAAAATGGAGATTCTTTCTCATACAACTCTGAAGCCCTCTGACCCACTCTGGCTTAGGAAGCAGGAAGTGGCCTGAGTTTGGAAAGCCGATCTGAGAAAGAACAAATACTTTTTTCCTTTTATCTTGCAGCCTCCCTCCCCCATCCTCTCCGGTTAATGCTGCCTCATAGGGAAACTATAATCTCGGTGTCCCGTGGACAGTCCATTCTAGCAAACTCGTGCGTAGTTGGAGGGAGTCTGATGTGAGCAGGAGCCGTCTGCAGCCTCCTCTGTGCCCAGCCCTGGGCCTGGCATACAGCAGACACTCAGTGGTTGTTGGACGAGTGAACAAGTATGGGCTGGGTCCTGCGCAGAGAGCTTGGGAATCCAACAGGTCTGAGGCAGGAGCGAACCTCACTCCTGGCCCCGCAGAGCGCAGGGCTCGGGACCGCTGGGGTTGCCCCGAGCACCTTCAGCTTCTGTGAAGGTGCTCTGGACAGTGATGGTGCCAAGGACAGCTGGCTGGGCCGCTGAGCCCTCTCGTTCAAGCTGTGTGCGGCCCTGGCTCACTGCTGTTTGGCAGGGGAATGGCATCTTTGAGAAAGCAGGAAGGCAAGCTGACACATTTGGCCCTGTTTCCAAGTGAAAATCCAAAGCCCATTACTGAAATGCCCTGTTCTCCAGTTTCATAAAGCAAAGAGGAAAAGGATGTTCCTGGACTCCAGGAAAGCGGAGGCCTCAAGGAACCACTGCCCCCCGCAGTCAGCCTTCCTGGGACAACTGGAGGCATCACAGCCCCCACTGCAGGGCAGAGTGGGAGGGCCACCTTCGGGGGCAGCGTGGTGAAGGCTGTTCTCACTCGGAGACACGCTCCCTGGGTTCCGTGCAGCTGAGACATCCGGGCGTGCAAAGGCTTCTGGGCAGGCACCTCGAGAGGAGCCACCGCAAGACAAGCATGGAGCAGAACGGGTACAGTTCTTTGGGAAGATAGTCTGGCCCTATCATGCACAATTTGGGATGCCCTCTGGACCCAGCATTTTCACATCCGGGAATCTGTTCTACATACACACCCACAAGGACATTAACTATAACAGCATGGAAAGTAGACACAGCATCATCAATGTCCATCAACGGGGAACCCGGCGTGGATGAGGGAATGCAGTGAAATTCTATGTACCCAATTAAAAGAACAGAATGGCTCTTTTATACTTACTAAAGAAGATGGCTTTTATACAGTGTTCAGTGGGAAATAATCACATTGCAGAATATACGTGGCTTAATACCATTATTTTGCAAAAAGTTCTATTGAATAAACATGCATATATAGGTTGTGTGTGTTTTGTGCATAAATAAAATTTCTCTCTCTACAGCCCCACGTGGTGGTAGCTGTTATGACTCCTACTTTCCCCGACAAGCCAGCCGGCATACAATTATCTGCCTGGGGTCAGTGTTTCTGGGTGCAGGAGTCCCACCCCGGGATGGAACCCAGGCAGCCTGGAGCGGAGGCTGCCCTTCGCACACTGCAGGGTCACGCCTGTATGAGGAAGGTGGGCAGTCTCTGTGAGGAAAAGGACTGCTGGTGCATAGTCACTGCCGATAGCCATGACCTCCAGTGGCTGTGGGGGGGTGGGGGGACTACAGCTGTTACCGTGTATATTTCCCATAAGCAAGCCACATTTTTGGAACTTAGAATGAAAATATTTTCAGAAGCAAAGACAGGCACCGTCAGGCCCTTTTTTAATGCCACGCCCCTGCGTGGCCAGGCCCCTGCGGTGCTCACCTCTTGACTGCTCAGGAGAATTTCCGTGTGGACCGGTTCTATCTGCACTGAGATGTCACACATCTTGGCTGCATTCCTGGGCTTCTGTTCCTTCTCCTTATACAGCTGGACTCTGTGTTTCTCTTGGGAGGCCCTAGGGGAGAGAAGATGAGTCACTGGCCAGCAGAATGGCTGGCAACCTGAGGTTCCAGGAACCACAAGCGACCTTTGGAACCACTGGCAGAACAGAAAAAGGAACTCCATTTGTATAGGTCACTGAAGCCTTCAGGTCTTCGAGTGCCCTGCCCACAGATTTCTAGAGTACTTAGTTTCAGGGGACTTCTGAAATCATGGCCAGGGCAGCAGACACCTGTCCACCCTTGTTCCCACAGTAAGTCTGTGGGACACCTGCTGGGGCATTTACTGGGGTCTCCACTGTGTGTCTGTTCTTTCTAACACTTTGTATGTGTTGACCCTTCTATTTCTCATCACAGTCCCATGAGCTGGGGCTCTGGTTGCCTCATTTCACAGGCAAGGAAGCGACACAAGCAATTTGCCCGTGGTCATGAAGCTTGCCAGTGGAGGTGGCTGGCTTTGAATCCGGGCAGCCTGTGTCTTTAACCACCATGTGAATCTGTCTTGGCCAGGAGCCATGAGGCATATGAAGCTACAGGGTAGTCACAAGATGTGGATTTTACTCAACCTTTCTTGGAGAAAACATTCCTCTTATGTCAAAATAAGGATAAGTTGTGGATGAAACTGCAAAGTCACATACAGTTTTTAGCCTAATCCATGGACTGACAATGAAATTTCACATTTATTTTAAGCTGACTTCTTTTACCCCAGTTTATACATTTGTTCAATCAATATTTACAAAGTTCCCTCCGGGCCTGCCAGGCACTGTGTGAATGCTAGGGAGTCAACAGCAGGCAAGGTCTCTATGGGGGTCCTTACGGGGAAGGCAGACAGCTAAACAGGCCACAGCAGCCTGGCTGTGTGACAGCGCTAGAGTGCAGGGGCTGAGAGACCCCGGGCAGTGTAGGAGCCCTTGGCTGTGTTTAGTGAGGGTAGTGACGATGGGCTCCCTGAAGAAGGGGCATTAAGCTGAGACCTGTCCTCTGGAATACTCGGCAGGAATGCTTGAGAGGCACAGAACTAAGCAAACTCTGTTTTAAATGATAAATGAAACACACGCTGTCCGTCCATCTGTCCATCCGTCCGTCTGTCCATCCATCTATTCATCCCTTCAACATTTACCCAGTGACCTCCATGTGCGAGGCCCCCTGGGTACTTGGGGGTGTCTGGGCTCCCTACGCCAGGAGGGCCTTCCCACACACCTGAGCGTCTCCTTGAGGACCTCCAGCTCCCTGTCCTTCCTTTCCACCAGGCAGGTCAGCTGCGCCATCTTTTCCCTGAGCGCTCTCAGCTCGCTGCTTTGCTGCTGGACCAGCGCCACGTTCCGCTCCAGTTCCATCTTCTGCTTTTCATTAAGCTCCCCTGGGAGAGAAGGAAAGCTGGTGGGGGGGGCTCTCCTGCCTCGGGGCTTTGCCAGGGCCATAGCCAATTGGCCAGGCCTACAGGAACCATGCGGCGGGTCCCCCTCCAGGAATTCTCCTGGTGGTGGGCGGCGTTAGTGACAGCCACGGGGCTCTTCCTGCGCCTTAGCAAATGACAGCAAATCTCTGCCTGACCCCGGCGCTCCCGAAGCTGTCAGGGCCCTGCCTCTGTATCTGTGGCCTTTCAGGGCTCCCTGGTTGACCTTCGGCTGTCTGCCTCTAGTCTATTTGCCTAAGGGTGTTCTTTCTATGGCCTCTGGGGTCTGCTCGGCTCCTGGGTCTGCCAGGTGCATCGGCCTCCACCTGAGACAGGTGAGACTGGAATTCACAGCCCGGTTCTCTCACCCCTGCAGAATTCAGCTCCAGCTGCCCGCTCTGCCCCTGCCGGACAACACAGCGCTCTTTGCCTTCATCCCTTTCCTGCCTCTGGTCCATTTCCACTGCTGCTAGTTCCCGGGATCACCTCTCAAATACACTGCCGGCAGCAGCAGCATGACCTCAGGGTCAGCCTCTGGCAAAACCCAAACGGAGACACCTGCATCACCCCAAATTTTCATAGCAACCCTACAGGTGAGCTACTGGCCACACCCCCACTTCCCAGAGGCAGAAACAGGCTCGGAGATGTAAAGGCACTTGCCGAAACTCATGGGACTGAAAAAAATAGCAGATCAGGAATCGAGTCCAATGTCTCCCAATTCTAGAACTGGACCTGCTAGCCTCTCTACTCCACTTTCTCATACTTTAGTATGAAAACAATCACTCTTTGGGGCGCCTGGATGGCTCAGTCATTAATTGTCTGCCTTCGCCTTGGGTCATGATCCTGGGGTTCTGGGATTGAGTCCCGTATCGGGCTCCCTGCTCAGTGGGGAGCCTGCTTCTCCCTCTCCAGCTCCCCCATTTGTGTTCCCTCTCTCACTATCTCTTTCTGTCAAATAAATAAATAAAATCTTAAAAAAAAATCAATCTGAAAAATTCAGCCATAAATGTGCTGGGGGCATTGAGAGTATAACCATAGGGGGGAGCAAATACCACTGAAGGTTTGGGGGTGCACAGGGGTTGAGATGGGCACAAGAGGAGTCTCCTCACCCTCCCTCCACTTCCCCAAACGGAGTTCTGTCTCCTGACTTCTGCTTGCCTGTGCCTTTTGGCGTGATGGAGGCTGGGGCTGGGAAGGGGAAGATGGCTGTAAGAAGCAAAAGAGGGGAGGCAGAAACAAAAGGACAGGGTTGGGTGGGGAGCAGAGAAAAAGAGCAAAGTGGGAACCTTCAGCTAGACTGGTTCGTGGTCTTTGGTCCCCAGTGTAGGTGGCTGCTGTGTCCAGCCAGCTCTAGGAAGCAGCGTGTTGTAGGTGGTTTTATACCAGAGGAAGGGGAGGCGAGGAGAGAGTACCTTGTTCTAGGTCCCAGAGATGGGGGGTGCTGGGCTTTGTGCCCTCCCTCCCAGACTTTGCCTCCAGAGACAAATCCTCTGAGGCAAAAGGGGATTTTTTTCCCAAAAAAGAAAGTTGCATTTCAACGCAGAGGTCTGAGCCCTCTGAGAATGGTCCCCGCGGCCCCCTGATCGGGCATCTGTCCTGCTGACCGAGGTACAAATGCTCCAATGCTGTGACCACCCAGGAAAGCAGGTCAGCAGGATTTTTAACGCTAAGCTTTCTTAAGCCTGTTCTTTCCTTTCTCGAAGTGGGTCAGGAAGTCAAGAGATGCAGGCAATCATACAAACCTCTCAGATCTGACATTCGGTTGTGAGCTTCTGTGAGGTTTTTCCTTAACCTCATGATGACCTCCTGCTGAGATAGGATTTCCTTCTGAGCGGTCAGCAGATCCCCTCTGAAACTCACAAAGACGGGCCAAGTCAGCTCACCTCAGGCCCCGGGATATCCCCAGTGCCTGGAAGGGGCCAGCTAGAATCACAAAGCGCTCCTCCTTCAGTGCGGGGCCTCGGGATACCAGTCCCAGCAAGGGGGAGAAGCATGCTCTTTAAAAATTCTCAAAGCAAAAATTCATTTCCATGTCAAAAAAAAAAAAATTACAGGGAGATAAGACAGAGGATCCCAGCTGGGTTCAGTCTGAGGCTGAGCGATGACAAATAGTGGCTTACTTCACAAGCGATTAAGTTAAGGTGCACCAAGGGGGTGTGACTTGCCCGAGCCACACACCTGCAAGGGGCTGAGTTGGCATCTGAACAAAGAGCCACCCAGATCTTTCCATGACACCATCCTGACCTTCTAGAGGATAGAGAAATTCAGATGACAGCGAGAAGAACCCAGACTCGACTCCTTTTTTTTCAGGTTCCGATTACGTGGCCGGAAGTGGGGGTTGGGGGAGTGGTCTCTGGCCCGGTGTGCACACACCCCTCAGGTACTCACATCAAGGTGTCACACACTTCGTCTTTGACACTGCTGTCCACTGGAGGCATCGGTGGGGGGTCTCGCTGCATTACCACCTCCTGGGCTGAATCAGAGGAGCCCGTGAGGGTCATTACAGTCTGCAAGCAACCACGGCTCTCCTTTCCCGGGGCTTATAAACACATCTGCATCGTTTCCAACTTAGCCACCCTCCCTACAGCCTGCCACCTTCTCTGCTTAATGAGCCCCACCATGGGTTCTGTGGGACAGGATGGGACCCCCCATGCATGAGCTCATGAAATCTTTCCAGCTACTCAATGAACAAGGGATCATGAACTCCACTTATAGGGGAGGAAAGGGGGATAGGAGGGACAGAGCCTGGCAGTTCTGGGAAACTGAGTCTTGCTCCATGCCTGGGCCATGGTGCCCTCTTCCTTCTGGCTCACCTGTCAGGGCCATCATTTGATGAACAGCAGGGACCCGGCCTGGCCTGTCCATACGGAATCCCCAGTGCCTAGAATAAGCTTGGGACCTAACAGATGCTCAACAAAGAGTGACGAGTGAATGAAAGCATGAAGTGAGCCCCTCCAGCTTGTCAGCTGGCTGGAGACCAGGACCATGTTTCCCAATCAGGGTTGAGTTTGCCCCCCTACCCCCCAAGGGGACACCTGGCAATGTCCGCAGATGTTTCTGGTAGTCACACTGGGGTGGGAGTGCTGCTGGCATTCAGGATGCCGCGGCTGAGCAACCCTGGCCCGAGACCTCAACTTCCAGAACTCTCTCCCAAGAGCTCAGCATCTCCGCAGTACATAGCGTCGCCTTGGTCATTTAGGGCGAGTATGTGCTCACAACCCTGAGTTCTTTTCTTAGCCCCTTTTGGATTTCTTTTTAAAGGTGGTTATGAAAAGCTGTTAGACAAAGTCGCAAACTCCAGAAGGCAAAAAGAAAGGCCCTGCACGGGATGTTTTCATGTGGAAAAGACACTCAGCAGCAGGCCGCTTTGTCGCCCCTGGCAGCCTGGGCGTCTCTGCTGGCTCACTGGCTTGGCACAAAGGACATCCCATCCGGTTGTTGTGACCTCTGTCTAACCTGGGCCTCGAGGGCCCCTAACCTTGTTGTGTCATGGGAAGAAAATGGTGTCCCAGGGAAAAATGGAGCATTCAAGCGAGGCGCGGCCTTTTCTGGCCCATCATCAGCGTATGGGGACCCACGGGATAATCAGAACCTGCCCTGAACGCTCTGATTTCTGCAGCTTCTCTTTGGACTGACCTAGGTCGCTGTCCTTCAATGTTGCAATCTCTCCTTCTATTTTTTTATGGTGCTCGGTCACTTTTTGGAGTCTTTCTTCAAGGCTCACGATAGTCTGGGAGTGCTGTTTGATTTGCTCCTTATATTCCCTGATTTCTGTTTCAAATCCATGTTTCTGGGAGTCCTGTTCTTCCTGGAGGGCCTTCACTGTCTGCTGTTGCAGCTGTATCTGCTCCTCCATGACGAGCTGGGGAAGCAGGGAAGCCATTAGCACGGTCTCGGGAGCTGGGCATGATGCCAAAGGTGACAATATCAGTATGCCCCCTTTGCACCCACAGGCATGGGACCGGACCCATCTCAGGGCCTTTGCACGTACTGTTCCCTCTGCCCGGTACTCTCCTCCCCCCAGCTCCTTGCATAGCTGACTCCTTCTCGTGTTTCATGTCTCAAGTCCAATGTCACCTCCTGAGAGAAGCCCTTCCTGGACTGCCTGTCTAGAGGAGCAGACTAAGACACTTTCTATTCCATCTTCTGCTTTCTTTTTCCATGACGTGCTTATCACCATCTGAATGATCTTATTTCTTTATTTACCATTCCCACTAGAATGGGAGCTCCAGGAGCGCAGAAACTTACTTTTCCTTATTTACCAATGTACCCACAGCACCAGTGCCTACATCCCTGCCGCAGTACCTAGGCCTAAATGCTCAATAAGTATTTGCTGACTTAAAGAATGAACACTTTTAAAAGAAAAAGAGAATGAATTTGTATTTCTTTCTTTAATTTCTTTTTATTTTTTAACGTAAGTGCCATGCCCAGCTTGAAGGCCAACATGGGGCTTGAACTCATGACCCTGAGATCAAGACGGAGCTGAGATCGAAAGTCGTATGCTTAACCGACTAAGCTACCCAGTCACCCCAAATTTCTATTTCTTAAAAGTGAAAATTCCCAATCATCCCCGAGAGGGGAGCTGGACCCCTTCCCGCAGCCGCCCTGTCCTTCCTGAGGCTCTTCTTGGGGCTTCTCAATGCTCATCCTTGCTCCCCTCCTACTTCTCCGACCACTCCTTCCCGGCTCTTCTGACACCAGACTCCTGCTCCTTATTCCTGGATGACATGTTGGGCCGCAGCCCCCGATCCTGAAACCCAGGCCCACACACCGTTTTAGTGATCATGCCTCCTCTACACTGAGATGTCTTATCTTGCTTTCTCCCCCAAATCTACTGGACCACCAAAAGTTTGGGGGCATATTTGGACTTTGCTGCCCCACCCTCGCCTCAGTCTGAATTCTTTCCCCAGAAGACAGACCCTCCCCGATAAAAGCCACTCTGACCTCCATATTCCTGTCACCATGTCACCCACAGGCCATCTACACCCTGGGTGCCCCGGCTCGAAGCCCAGCCCCTCCCTCTCCTTGTTGCTCATGTCCCCTCCATCAATTTTCAAGTCCTGCCATTTCTCTTGTGTCTGTCCTTACGGCCACTCCTTCCTGCCCGCTCCTGTGCCACCCCGAGTCTGCAGCTCCTTATGACTCAGGCCATAGACACAGCCACCATGTGCCACAGCCCAAGCTGGCCTCTCCAACTCCAGTCCCTCTCACATTCACTTTGTGCATTTCGGCCAGATGAGTCCTCATGACGTCCTTGCCCACAGACCTGTTGGTTGAATGTATGGATGATAAATGTGTACAGTATTGAGCCCTGATGATGGAGGGCCTTGAATGCCGAGCTAAAATTTTAAAACATTATCTTAAAGTCTGCAGAATAGTCACTGATTACCAAGGTCTGGGGCTGCTCAGTCCCTCAGTCTGATCCTGTGAGGACCCTGTATTACAACATCTTAGAATGCCTGGAGAGAGAGCACTGTAGCCTCTGTTTGCCTTTCCTTTGAGACCAGTGCTTCTCAATAAAGGGTGATTTTGCCCCCGAAAGGGCATTTGGCTAAATCTGAAGACACGGTGGGCTGACACGTGTGGAGGGAGGATGCTACTAGCATTGAGCAGGTAGAGACCTGGGGCGATGTTATGCACCCTGCGATACACAGGACGGCTGTGCACGAGAAAGGGTGATCCAGCCTGGGGCACCAGCAGCAGCCGGGCTGAGAGCCCCTGGTCTAAGTCATGGGTCCATGGGTCCAGCATTGCGATCCTTCATTGAGGGAAAGACTCTCCTGTCCCCGGAAGGCACCAACTCACCATTTTTGCCTTGGTGGTTTCCAGTTCAGCTAACGTTTCATTTAATTTCATGCTGAGGTTCTCTGCTCTTAGGCTCTCGGCCGTCTTGCTTTTCTGAGTCTCTTCTACCATGGCCAGTGCATCATTTAATTTATTATTCAAAATGCCTTCTTTTTGCACTTTTAAGTCTATTTCCTGGACAAACAGCAAACATCAAATTAACAATAATTTGGGAATGAGTATTTACCCTAGCTGTCCCTGTCCCGGCCCCCCGTTTTCAGAGAGGAGGTGAATTCTATTCTGTCAATGTCCCTTTTTCAGCGCAAACTCCATGCTTTCTCTGGAAGGTTCCAACTGTCATCGAGCTCTCTTTTCTCTCCAGCTGAGGCTGTCTCCTTGTGATTTCTGGTCTCTGAGCTCAGTTCTGTCACCTGGAGTGCACTGAGTAAGTTTTATTTCTCTTTTATGAGGCAGCCCTTTAAATATTGGAGGAGGGCTGTCATGTCTCTCTCTAAATCTGTTTTCCAGGATAAATGTGCCGAGCTCCTTCACCCTTTCGCCCCAGGATCTGCCTTCAGCACCCTTCCCTGCGTCCCTCCCTGGCTTCAGCGGGAAAAGGCCCCCCTGCTTCCCTCTGGGCTGCAGCAAGGTCGACCCTGCGCACTTCATCCCTCCTCCTGGATCCACTCTGTCAGCCCTGGACTCCCCAGATTCTACTCTCCTCCAGAAGCCCCTCCTCAGACCACAAAGAATAGAAGCTTTGTGACTGGTCCTGGGTGGGTGGGGGGGAGCTTCATGAACTTTACTTACTTGACTTTATTTTTATTTCTTAAACAGATTATTTATTTGAGTGAGTGAGAGCGCGCGCTCATGAGTGGGGTGGAGTGTGGAGGGGCAGAGGGAGAAGCAGTCTCCCGCTGAGTAGGGACCCTGATGTGGGACTTGATCCCAGGACCCTCGGATCATGAGCTGAAGGCAGATGCATAACCGTCTGAGTCAGCCAGACGCCTCTACTTGATTTATTTTGAAAGAGCGGTTTTGGGCTCACAACAAAATTGAGAGAATACAGAGCTCTCTTATTTGCTCTCTCCCCCCACAACGGGAGAGCCCCCATCGTCAACATCCTGCACCAGATACCTTTGCTCCAACTGGTAAACGCGCACTGGCGTATCACAGTCACTAGAAGTCCGCAGTTTACGCTAGGTTCACTCAGTGCTGTACACTCGACAGGTCTGAGCAAATGTACAATGACAAGTTTCCACCCTTCTAGTATCCTGCAGAGTAATTTCACTGCCCTGAAAATCTCCTATGCTCCATGTTGTCCTCCCTCCCCTCCACCAACCCCTGGCCTTCTGTCTCCATAGTTCTGCCTTTTCCAGAACGTCACAGACTTGGAATCATACCGTATGAGGGCTTTTCACAAACATTACTTTATCTGATGTAAAACAGTAGTCCATGAGATGTAGTGCTGGGTCCGCTCAGCCTCGGCTGCTGGCAGGGTAAACTGGTATGACCTTTTTTGGAGGATCATTTGGGAATGTGTGTCAAGAGGCCGAACATGTTTACACCCTGTGACCCAGCGATGCCACTTTTGGGAATCCGTCCTAAGGATGTAAACCGCACACTTTCACAAGGACTGATACGTGGGGCTGTCCAGCCAAGTGTTTTTAACTTGAGTGAGAAACAGCCCAGGGGCCCAAGCATAGGGGACAGGTCAACAAATTGGGGTCCACCCAACGCAGTGCAAACCCCGGCCAGCCAGCCGTCCAGGGCAGGTCGTGGAAGAACGCTGCATGCCGTGGAGATGTTTTGTAATGCATTCGGTTAGAATACAGCATCCAGGTCCGTGTGCACAGTGTTACAGGGTCAATTACTGTCATAAGCGCAGGTTTGCTGATGTCTGTAATGAGGATCAACGTGTAGATGGTCTGGGAGGAAGCAGATCAAAATGTCACCGGGGTAACTCTGCTCAGTGTAAATCAGGGGCAGTTTTTGTGTCTTCTTCCGAGCAATTTCCTGTAAACGGTTGCTCCTTTTATAGTTGGGAAGGGAAACGGATTTAAACATGAGAAAAACCTGTTTCGTCACTCGCTTCCTGTAAGCCTCACCTGCGAGCGGCTGCGTTCCCGGTGTATCACCACTGAAGTCCATCTGGTTCTATTTCGGGGCCTTCACGTCACCGCGGCTGCTGAGAAATCCTGGTGCAGACTGTGGGCAGCCCTGGCCAGAGGAGGTGCCCCCCCCGCCCCCCGGGGACGCTGGCAGGCATCCCATGGAGCCGCCTGTCACTTGCAGCACCCAGCGGAACCTTCCAGCTGTCCCAGAGAATCCACAGCAAACAAACCGTTTCTTTGATGGCCCTGAAGCTGCCCAAGGGCAGAACGCACTGCCTGGGGTCTTTGCTCCTTGCCAGCAGCTCAGCCGAGCTGACTCAAGGACAGGACAACAAAGTTGACTGTGCCCCCAGGCCTGGATGCGTTTTTTCTTCTCCCCGCTCTCCTCCTCTTCTCTTACGTCCATTGCTCTTCCACATAGAGGAGAAAAACAGCATGTGAAAAAGCAACTCTCTGTTGGTGGGGGGAGGGTTCCTTGACCTTGTCCTTCCTTGGTCTTTCCTGGTACATGGGGACTTTCTGGGAGGGGGTCCCCGTTTCTCCTTGTCTGGTGTGATGCCCCGGGGCTGTCTGGAGGGCTGTCACCAGACTTTGCGCTCTGATGGCATCGCTGTTTTCCCTGAGGCTGTTGAGGGTGTTGCGTGCACGACAGAGCCCTCTCTTTGATGATCCGCAGGAGGGATTCTCTCTGGGTGGAGGACGGGAACGGGGCTAGCCACCAGCCACCCATCGGTTCATTTCCTCTGCAGAGCTGCGTAGCCACCTGAGCCCTCCCTTTCACTGTAACCGTTAGAGTGAAAACTGACTGCTGATTTCAGTGATAAACTTTTTTTTGGGGGGGGTCATTATTCTCATTCCAGATCCATTACATGTCCTGACTACTCCACTTTAAAAAATGTTAATCTCTCCGTTCCTCCTGCTCCTGACTGAAGTATTTCATGGAAGATCCACGGTGAATCATTTGGGGGAACAAGGCTGTGTGTGAACAGATTGTGCCCTTGGGGCTACGAGGACCCGCAGCATTGGCTTGCCCTCCCTCAGTGTGCCGGCCTCGGCTGGCATGTCCAGCATCATGTCCCCCAGCTCCAACTCCGGTCTGCCTTCTCCCGGCATGCTCCAGCTGGTCAAGGTCCCTCAGAAAGCGGTGCCTGGGGCTGATCCATAACGCTGACCTGGTTTGCTGACGCTCATCTCTCTGGGGCAGCAGTGTTCCAAGCACACCTGGGCTGCTGGTTAAAGATGTAGATTGCTGAGTCCGTCCCATAGACCGTGAATCTGAATCTTTGGGGGTGAGGCCTGGGAAATGGGCATTTACATGCCACCCCACCACCCCTGCTCCAAGGGACTCTATGCACGCTCATGTTTGAGAATCTTGCTTTAAAGAAAATGATCTAAGATTGATGGGAATAGATGCAAAGAGCTTTTTTGTCCCACCTGGTCTTCAGAGTCCTCTGAAATTGTATTTACCTGCATTGAAGTTTAACCCCCTGTTGTCAGGTTGCGCATTTGATCCCTTGCCTTGACTTTTGTGATATGAGCCATTGTGTGTGTGTGTCCCTTGTACTGTCGGGACCCAGGAGGAGTGAATTCTGTCCTACAATGCAGAGGTGCCGAAGATAGGGTCCCGTACAACAGCCTGTGCTCCTATGGTGTCTGCTCCTCCCAGGAACAACTGTAAATGCGGTTTGACTGGGCAGGTCACAGCACCCATGGGGACAAGTTCTGGCGGAGACGCTGCTGTCCAGGTGATGAGAAATTCAGGTGTCCACCTCCTGACATACCCTCTGCGACCCTAGGCAGCTGAGGCCACACACTGTCCAAGGATAGTAGGGAGAGGAGGGGGACGGTGTGGGGTTCAGTTGTGCCCTCCATTTCCCAGCTGTAAGCTCACAGTAATAATAATAATCATCATCATCATCATCATAATGGCAGGCAACACACAGAGCATTCACTGACTACTGGACATTTTCCTGTGTTTTATGAGCTTGTTAGCAATCAAGCCTCACCACTCAATGAGGCTGATGTATTGGCATCACCTGGATTTCATAAGCAGGGAAATGTAGGCACAGAGATGGTAAGACACTTGCCTCAGGTCACATGGGCAGAAAGTGGCAGAGGTGGGATTCGAACCCAGACCACCTGTCTCCAGAGCCCTGCTCTTAACCGCGCCGGTTGCCTCCGTGGCTGCCCCTGAGACTCTCACCTCCTTCTGCTTGGTGATGTAGTTCTCCAGATCTTGCACCTTCTTCTTTTCCTGCTCTATGGCCTCTTTCGCTTTGTGTTTCTCGTAGGTGAGGCTGCTCTCTGAAATCTGGAAGTGACAACTGGTCTGAGGGAGTGTAGCGAGAAAGGAAGGGAAGGGGCACCATGAGGGAAGCCAGGATTAGTAACCATGGAGACCGGTGAGTCAGGGTTTGGAGCAAGGGCTCAGGAACTTGATAACGAATACGTTGACTTCTCCCAACAAACGTCTAGGTAGTTTGGTCACTACACCCATGTACAGATGGGGCACAGAGACAGCAAGGCGCTTGCCCAGGGTCAAACAGCACGGTGGGACAGAGCTGGGGTTTGAACCAGAATCAGCACTTTTCGCCTACCAGGCTTTCATGCTTTACCCCCTTTGCAACTCCCTCCGGCTTTCTTCCCTGGGCCCCTCATCCGGCTTCATCTTGTTCGAGCTTTCCTTCCTCCCTCACACTGCTGCCCTGTCCCTGCGGCTAAGGGAGGTCCTTGGATTCCGAAGCTGGGCCACTTTACTCAGTGGTATTTTCTCGCCCTAGATGTTCCCTTCATTCTTCTCCTCCCCTCCAGGTCTCATTCCAATGTCACCTCCTCGGAGAGGCCCTCCTGCCTGTGGCCACTCTCTAGCCCACCCCTTTGATCTTCTCCCAGGTTTGTGGCCCTGGAGTTATTGTGGGCACCTGGTTCTGTGGGGTCTGTCCCTCAGCCTAGAGTGGGAGCACTGAGAGGACACAGCTCTGGTCCTTCTTGTGCACTGTGATGTACCCAACGCCCAACAGGGCCTGGCCCGTGCTAGGTGCTCGGGCAGCATTTGTGGGTGGACGAATGAAACAGAAGTGAAAAATTCATGGAGTCAGTACTGTGTTTCTGGGAGTTCCTTGAGGACCAGGCCAAGTCTGTGTCGCCTGCGTCCTTGGAGCCCAGCTCATGGAGCTGCCACTGTAAGTCACTAAGTTCTCTCCCCGGCCTCCAGCTCCTGAGAGCCCTTTTTTGACTTCTTGGGAGAGGGGTGGTTGGCGTGTTTGGGTTAACCTGAGTGACACCTCTCCTCTCAGCCTTGGGTCTGCCTTTCATGGCGGCTCCAGGCCAATGTGGCTGGTGGGCCCAGTCCCCAGGCTGGTGGGGGTGGCTAGAGGTGGATGTCTCCAGCATTCCCCAGGCATGGTGCCCAGGCCTGCCCAAACCATGTCACCCTCTCCCCAAGGGTGTACTTCTTCTCATCTACTCCGGACCTCGGGCACTTACCCGTGGAACTGCCATGCAAGCTTGTTATGTACCGGTCTCTGCCATCTTACTCCACAACTCTTTGTGTCTCTACAAAAAGTCTATGAAACCAGGAGACCAGAGCTGGGAGCGAGTGTCTGTCTACTGTGCCCGTGCTGGATTGCGTCATAAATACCTTTCAGTGAGGAGGAGGGAGAGGCTGGCTGGGGGACCGACCCAGACCCGGACCCAAGGGTTCTCTCCTGGAGCGCATCCCTCTGCCCTCAGTGGCTAAGCGGGGAATGGTTCTGTAGAGGGCCCTCCATGTGCAAGGTGTAGTCCTAAATCCTCTGACTTTATTAATTCATTTACTCCTGCCAGGCGGGGTCTGTGACCACACCCATTTTAAAGAGGAAGCAACTGAGGCCCAGGAGGTCAAGTGACCTGACCTAGGTCATCCAGCTAGTGAGTTGTACGTGACATTGGTCACTTCTTATGGAAGTGCTGCTCAGCACCTGCCCACTGGTCAGCCATACTCTCCATTGGGGCACAAAACCAGGGCCTCACGTCTGGCCTTGGAGTTCATACCATAGGGGTTTTTGGCTGCTATGGCCCATTTCTCTCTCTGCTCCCCATACCTCCTTCTGTTGGGTCAAGTGGTTCTCCAGATCTTGGACTCTTCTCCTTTCTGTCTCTAAAGCTTCCTTTGCTTTCCTTTTCTCATAGGCCATGCTGTTCTCCAAAATCTGAAAATCAATGACCAGTCTTTTTGGTTGCTTGTGCATTTCGGGGGGAGACTGCTCATTCTGGCCATATTACTGATAGTGGTAGCAGCTCCCACACTGGGGGTCGGCAGGGGTGGGGTGAGAATCCCACGCTGGGGGCCCACGGCCAGCTTGTCACACACAGTGAACCCTATCACGGTAACCCTAGCGGATGAGTTAGTGTCCCCCATTTGTAGATGAGAAAACCAAGGAACAGAAAGTTGCACAAGGCCCAGGGGTCATGCAGTCTGTTGGAGGTGAGGTCAGGATTTGGGCCCCCTGCGGAGGACGGCCCACTGCCTGTGCCCAGAGGCCCTTGCCTAGGGCCACGTGAGCAGAGGGAACCGGCTCTGTCTATTTTGGAGTCTGAGCTCTTATCACTGCACCAGGCAGCCGCTCTGATAAGAAGAGAGAATCTCATTAATAATGGATACCCTATTATTAAAATAAATCTCATAAAGAGAATCAGGTTTCAAGATGCGGACAGTATGTTGAACTCATGAGCTCCAACGTGGCAGTTTCTAGAAGGGGTGGGGGTGAACCTCACACGTGGAGCTCAGAGAGGGCATATGGGGGAAAGTGTGGTTCAGTGCTTGTGCTCAAGGAATTTTATTTAGGAGTTAAATGGCTGACGCCAATCCCAAAGGATCGGAGTTGCCCACAAGGCCCCTGTTTCTAGTCACTGCAAGAAAGGGCACCATAGCTTTCAAATGGGTTGAGTTCTAAGCACTGGCTTGACGGTAAGATGTCTGGAACTTGGAGCATGGTCTCCATTGTAACCCGTGGTTAGGGCTCCAGATTAGCCTGCCCAGATGAGCCTGGCTGAAGTGCTAACTATTTTGCAGTGAAAAGTCATTTAAAAAAATCCCAACACTCAGCTGCTCCAGTAGCAGCCCCGAAGAAAGAAGAATGGCAGCATCACGGGCGGCGGCACACTGCTCCTGAACACTGGGGGGTCGGGGTTCCCAGCATTCGTGAAAGAGACTTCCCAGCACTTCGAGGTGATTTAAGGTGGGCTCCACCGCATTGAGCTCGCGTCTACACTCACGACTTTGCTCTCAGCAGCTCCTTTGCAGCGGAGGGGGCACTAAGGGGAAGACTGTCCCTGTGACTCAACACACATGGGCCCTGGCCCTCTCTGCTGCTCTGCTCCCAAGTTCCCAGGCAGGTAATGGGAGTTCACCTTTCACGTCACCTCGAAACCCGCATTATGACCTAGCATCCTTTTCCTTAAAGATTCATCTGATAATGTGACAGAAGGTCTAATAAGGACAAAAACCCAATAGCCGTTTGAGGTTGATTAAAGTCTGTGTCTGGGACTTTTATCTCAGATTTGCCGGTCAAGAAACCACAGAGACATTCTGCTGTAGGTAGGTTGCCATTTTCCTAGGCTTGGGATGACCTGGCCACAGCTCCTCCCTACAATGAGGCTGACCCCATCATGCCTTCTTCCTTAAATCTCTCTCCTGACGTCCCCTATGACCTCGACATCTCTAAATTCAAGGGCCTTCTCCGGGCCCCTGAGCTGAGCTGTTGACCTCTCAGTGGCGTTTGGCCCCTGTGAACCCTTGGGAGACTCTGTTCCTTGTCAGCACCCCTCGAAAGATAACTCAGGGCAAGTCCTCAGTGACACTGTTTATATGGGTCGCCGAGCATAGCCATGCAGGTGACCCCAGGTGACACCCAGCACATAAACATCTTCCCTCCTTGGATCAGATGGCATCACAGGGGCTCTGCCTGGCCCAACTCCTTGTCTCTCCCGCAGCAGTGGGTGGGCGAGGACGTCACTGAGCAGTGAAGGATGGGGAGGGGTCTACAGGGGAGGATGTACCTGTTATCAAAGCTATTCACACACAACTCTGTGCCTATTCCAACAGCTACACGGGCTGAGAAACGATTTGGGGTCAGGCACTGCACTGTGCATGGCTGCCAGCCCTCACAGCTACGTTTAAAGTCAGGAGATCCTGAGCGATCTGCTGAGGCCCATACGTCGTCAAGCCAGGATTTGGAACTGCGTTGCATGTGGCTACAAGGCCTGAACTCTTCACCCCTCTGAGCTGCCTCGGGGTGCAAGAGCTCATGAGAACAGTACGTGAAAAAGACTCTGAGGTCCAAGGGTGACCACAAATTAAGCCTGTGCCGATGATGTCACAGAGCTCTCCCCATAGAGCTCTCCCCAAAGCTGGTTTGGGGGCATCAGTACAAGCACAAAATCTTCAACAGGGAGAAGAGTCCTGCCCTGGGTCTGGTTTCGGCTACCGCACTTAGGGAAGAAAACAGAGTGGGGATTGCCAACCCAGATGTCTACAAGGGCTAGACAGGGGCCGGCAAGGAAGTAGGCTGCGATGAACGCAACGGAATGGTGGGGACGGTGGGAAATCACTGCTGCTTGTGTGAGCTCCTGTTGCTTCTGCCACGTGGAAATGGGGCCAGATTTTCCGACTTTTCAGGAGAGGATGGAAATCTGGATTTTTAAGTAAATGTTATGAATTCAAAATAAAATACTTGGGGACCAAACATAACATGCCCCTGGGCCCTTGTAAGCCAGGGAGCTGCCTATCTGTGCCTTCTAGAGAACAGAGCAGGCCAGAGGAGGGGACCAAGGCCAGGCTCCAGGAGAAATAAGGGCATTTGGGTCTGGAGAGGAGCAGGTGTCTCTATTTTCAAGCCTCTAAAAGTTATTATGTGGACGAGGAGGTGGACAGGACTTGCAGGAGCCCAGGAGGCCAGTGGGGGATTGACGTTCTTCTGGGAGAAAGAGTTTGCTTGTGCTCAACTTAAAGGAAGAATTTTCTGCCAGCCTGAGGCATCACCACTGGGTTGGGCTGGCCTGGCCTACAGAAAATTCTCGGATGGCAGAGTTGAAGGCTGGATGTAAGGATATTGCTGAAGGACTGACACAGCCCTGAAGTCCCAGAACTCTGTACCTCCTCCACGTCCATGCTTTGGCACACAATCTCCATGCAGAAGATGCTCGTGTCACCAGCCCCAACTTGTCTCTCAAGTCCTATCTATGTCTGTACTTCTGCTGTTTACAATTTTTCCAACTGGGTTGTTCAAGTTAGGACTCCAGGGCTCTCACCTCGAGCCCCACTGCTTCCCAGAGTAGCTGAACCCTCCTGAGGACAGATAGCTGTAGGAAAGCTCTGCCACACTCTTCCCACTCATCCGTGGTTCAGAGCTCACTGCCACATGGCCCGCAAGCCGGATTTGGGCTCTAGCCAACAGTCCCCCCCAGCTGCATACCTCCTTCTGGCGGGCTAAGCGATTCTCCAGCTCTTGGACCCTCTTCTGTTCTTCTTCTAACGCTTCCTTCACTCTGCTTTTCTCTTGCATAATGTTTTCCTCCCAGACCTGCAATCCAAAGGCCATTGTTTAATAGACATTGTCGCCATGGTAGGAACCCAGACTCTGAGCCAGGAATTGCGCCAGTAGCCCTTCGCTGCTCTCCACTACCCACGGGGGAGACCGCAGGCAGCAAGAGCAAGGGATCCAGAGCGGGCAGCCTCGGATTAGAGCCCCAGGTTGGTCCTCCCAGGGTGTGTGACCCCGATTTGGGTTCAGGCCGACTCTGTCTCCCCCAGCTGCCTACCTTCTTCTGGCGGGCTAAGCGACTCTCCAGCTCTTGGATTCTGTTTTGTTCTTCTTCTAATGTTTCTTTTGCTCTGTTTTTCTCTTGAGTTATGCTTTCCTCCAAAGCCTGAAAGTCAATGACTATTGTTTAATAGACAGAGTTTCCATGGCAGGAATTCTGGACTCCGTGCCAGGCATTGCACGGGCTAGCTCTTTGCTCCTACCACAAGCCCACTGGGGAGACTGTGCGTAGCTAGGAGCAAAGGATCCAGAGTAAGAAGGCCCCAGATCAGAGCCCCAGGTTGGGCCTTTCTGGGTGCTTGACCTTAGGAAGGTGAGAAGCAAAAGACGCCCCAGTCTCCCTATCTTTACAACAGGGAGGGTAATAGTACTTCCTTCACTGGGTGAATGTGAGGGGCAGATGACAGGCTGAACACAGACCACTTGGCAGGTGATCATCGTTCATTAATAAGGGTCGGTCATTTCTTCTGTGATCTCCACTTTGCAGAGGAGGAAACAGACTTAGAAGGATTAAGGATCTGTCAAATTTACTAGCAAATCACATGAGCAGGGATTCGAATCCTGGTCCATTGACTCAAGAGCCTCTTTTCTAAGCCAGCGGTTGGCAAACCATGGCCTACCAGCCAAATCTGGCCCGTTGTCTGCATTTTGTAAATAAAGTTTTATTGGAACACTTCCTTGCTCACTGTTTGTAGATTGCCTATGACTGCCTTTGCACTTACAATAGCAGAGCTGAGCAGTCATGACAGAGCAGCGTGGCCTGCAAAACTGAAAATATATACCATTTGGCTCTTTACGGAAAAAGTTTGCTGACCCTGATCTAAACCATGAGTGTGTGCACAAGTCAAGTACATGTTTACAGCTCATATTAAATAAGGGTTAGCTTGATAAAGCAACCTAGAATTTCTTACTATTCAAACAGTCTTCAAATGAGTTGGGATTCATGAGGAGGAGTTTAATAAATTTTGACACATGTATTTTTAGAAAGGGTGAGGGTGATGGTGTCTTATGGTCTAAGGAAGGTTCATTTAAAATTGGGACCCCCACGGGGCTCCTAGGTGACTCAGTCAGTTAAGCATTAGGACTTTATTTAATCTCCTAAATGACAAAAGCACATCCAAAGTTATGAGCCTCTTGATGTAGGGTGATGGCAATGAAGTAGTTAAAAATTCATGGCAATCCCTGAATATAAAAAAGGGCCGACTCTTGGACAAAGATGAGAATGAGTTCATTATATGCAGTTTCCTGGCCTTCTCCAGAGATTCTGGTGTAGTGGGTCTGGGCTGGGGTTTTTATTTGACAGAGAGAGAGAGAGAGAGAGAGAGAAAGGTGGGGGAGGGAGGGAGGGAGGGGCAGAGGGAGAAGCAGACTCCCCGCCGAGCAGGGAGACCGATGCGGGGCTTGATCCCAGGACCCTGGGATCATGATCTGAGCCGAAAGCAGCCACTTAACCAACTGAGCCACTCAGGTGCCCTGAGAATCTGTATTTTTAACAGGAGTCCAGGTAGTGCTTATCAGGCAACTCTGGGAAAATCACCCTCTAAGATTTGCTGCTGAAAATGTGGTCTGCAGACCCGTGCTGTCAGCGCCAGCTGGGAGCTGGCTGGAACGCAGATTGCCAGTTTCTGCCCCAACCTTCCTGAGTCGGAATCTGCATTTTAACAGACTCCCCAGGGGCTTCCTGGGCACCTGTAAGTTTGAGAGGGGCTGCTGAAAACTGGCTTCGTTTTTAGAAAAGTGAGTGGCAATCTTGGCCATTTGTTTCCTATGATATGTATCGAGAGAAAGAAAACGAAAATAATGTGTGGCTGGTCTTGCAAGCACTGAGAGACAGTCTGTCTGTTACAAACCAGGACCGCAGTAATGACTTGAACTTGGCAAACTGACTGTGGTATCTGAGCTAATAAGGTACCATTTCCAGGAATTTCAATAACTTTGTTGTTTCAAGTTGAGTTTTAGAATTCAAGCTTCGTGTTACTTCCTCCGTTACTCACCTATTTAATTAATTTACTTCCAGAGCATCAAACAAGGAGTTGCTGAGATTTCTCCTCCCAAGTACATGCCTGCAGAAGAGGCCATTCCATCAGCTTCCAGGAGTAAAGAAAATGACAGGGACCACCTTACCGCCTTCTCGTCCATCAGCCGCTTGATTCTGGCTTTCAGCCTCTCCTCTTGCTGCAGCCTGTCCTCAGTCAGCTTCTCCTTCTCTGCCAGATGCTCCCGCAGCTTCTCTTGCATGAAAGACTGCTGAGTTTCCTGAGAACTGTGAATCTTGATCTGAAATGAGAGGAAAGGAAACTGAAGCTGATGAGGGGGACAGGATGAATTAAAGGAGTCATTTCAACACTTTTCTTTTCCGAGTTCTTTTACCTTTGGGGGTACAAAGGTTTACGCAACCTTAAAAACACAGAGAGACTATGCTTAGCCTAGTTTCTGCTAGTGAACCTGTAGAGTCGAGTCATCAAGAACCCAGACTCTCAGTGGTCAAGAACTCAGAATCTCAGCTCTACTTCTTTCTAGATGCTTTTTCGTTTAGAAAATGGGATAATAACAGTATCTGCCTCTTAGAGTAAGGATTAAGTGAGATCATGATGGAAAGCTTCAGCACAGTGCTGAGCACATAGCAGGTGCTTGGTTAATGGAAGCTAGAACTGTTAGTTATTATTTGCTGAGTGGAAGAGAAAAAGCAGTGAGCTAGGGTCAGAAGGCCTGAGCTTTTTCTTGATTCTTCCATCAACTAGCTTTGTGACACTGAAATAGTCACCTAGCCTCTGAGGTTCCATGTTTATATCTGTACAATAAGAAAAATGGGCCGATCAGGGGTTGACAAAGTGCTGTCTACAGGCCAAATCTGGCTCACTGCCAATCTTTATAAATAAAGTTTTATTGGAACAGAGCCATGCCCATCATGCTCCTTCATTTACATATTGTCTAAGGCTGATTTTACTCTATAGCAGCTGAGGTGAGTAGGTGTGACAGAGACTGTATGGCCTGAAAGCCTAACATATTGAACATCTGGCCCTTTGCTTTAGAAAAAGTCTGTGGATCCCTGGGTTAGATGACCTGTGGGGTTGATCACAATGGTGGTCCCAATACTTTACTCTCTCTCCACCACGTCTTTGGCCATGTATCTCGCAATGCCCACCCATACGCTGATCTGACATTGAACTCAGCCACGAGACCTACTTGGGCCAATGGGATGCTAACACACCAGAGAACTGAAAAGCATTTCATGACTGGGCTGCTTTTTCTCTTGTACTTCCGCATCGCCATGGGGACATGCCCAGGCTAGCCTGCTGGAGGATGAGAGACAGGTGGGGCAGAGAGGAGCTGCTCCAGCTGAGTCCAGCCTAGACTGATCAAGGCCAGCCAACACCCAGACACTTGGGCAAGCCTGTCCAGGACTGGTGCAACCACCTAGTGGCTGACCCCTGGTGTGTGAGCAGTGAACAGTAACTGTGGAATGCCACTGAAGTTTTGTAGGTGCTTATTACAAAGCATTGTTATGGCAATACCATACCAGAGAGGTACAATCCCTAAGGATCCTTTGCCCCTAAAATGTGGACTTTATGTAACTTTTGGTAATTCTACTCCCTACATTGCAGGCAGCTGTGTACTTAGTAAGCATAAGTCTCAAGATCTGATGGCATTTGAAGCTTTCTGATGATTTTTTAAAAAGATTTTATTTATTTATTTGACAAAGCGAGAGAGAGACCACAAGTAGACAGAAAGGCAGGCAGAGAGAGAGGGAGAAGAAGGCTCACCGCCAAGCAGAGAGCCCAATGTGGGGCTCGATCCCAGGACCCTGAGATCATGACCTGAGCCGAAGGCAGAGGCTTAACCCACTGAGCCACCCAGGCGCCCGCTTTCTGATGATTTTGACACAAGACAACAAGCATCCTGTCTTTGCCCTTGCCCTCCTGGGAGATCTTAGCCACCCTGTCTGAATCTTTTTGTGTCAAGTGGGGATATCATGTCATGTCTTGGAGAATGTGGATGGACTCGTTAACAGAGAAAAAAAAGAGTTAAAATGCACAGTCGTATATAAACACTAAGGAGGAGCTGAAATGAACTTTTCAAAGTCAAAGTATTACCTGAAGTTCCTGGGTTTGGCTTGTAATTTTTTTATAATATACCAGAAGATATTCCAGATACAAAGACAATCCTTGAAAAGAGAAGCAAGAAGGTTAAATATCCATTCAATTCACTTCCTTTGCTTTCCCAATAATGCCATAACAGAGCTTGCTCGCAGGTGGACGAGGGCACCGCGGCCCTCCCATCAAGAAGACCTGAGCTGCCATCCCATGTGCATTTTTAAAGTGGTTGGTCAGCCTCGGATGGGCTCAAATCCAGTTTCTTTTTGAAGGTGGAAAATAACCCCCCAGCAGAGCCCCTATCACCTAAATGTCCACTGTGTGCCAAGCCATGAGCTGAGTATGGTAGGGGGCGGGGTAGGGGGTGAAGCTATTCCTCGAGGTTCAGTCTGAGACATGGGGTCTAACTGTGGGATGAGAATAGGCAGTGGCTCCACATGGCACGGAAGTGACTGCTGGCGCAGGGCGGGAGGGTGAGAGTCTCTGAGGAGAGGTCATTCGCCTGGAGCAATCATAGGAGGCTTCTTGGCCAAGGAGCCAGTGGGCACTGCTGGCTAGGCAAGAGTCAGAGTTGGGGGGAGAGGGCATTTTGGAATGCAAGGGTGGGAGGCCAGGCTACATGGTGGTCCCCAAGGATACCCATGTCCTAATCTCTGGAGCCTGTGAATGTTACCTGACGGGGCAGAGGAACTCTGTTGATGTTACCAAGTTAAGGATCTTGAGATGCAGGGAATTAGCCTGGCTTTTTGGGCAGACGCAGTATTACCCCCTGGGAGGATCTTACTCCAGACAGATAGAGGACAGGGGATGTAAGAGAAACAGAGCCTGGAAGACGCTGGCTGCACTGCTGGCTCTAAAAATGGAGGCAAGGGCCACAAGCCAAGGAACGTAAGGAATAAGGTTCTAGAGACTGGAAAGGCAAAGAAATGGATCCTTCCCTAGAGCCTTCAGAAGAACCCAGCCTCGCTGATCTCAGGCAGTCGGCCTCCAGGACTGTATGTGAATGAGGCGCCGCGTCTGTGCGATGTGTGAGAGCAGCCGCAGGAGACTAACACGGAGGGGAGGCAGGTGGGCAGCTGGGGAAAGGCTGTGCGTACCCCGTGGGGGTGCTGTGCTTAACTGGGACGCACGCACGGTACGAGGCAGGGCTCGGAAGGTGGAGCGGGAGTGGAAGGCTGGGCCCGTTTGTGGTGGGGCTAGAACAGTAGCCTAAGAAGTGTTAACTTGATATAAACATCTCTGAAGTGTACTGAGCCTGTATTGTGTGCCAGGCTCTCAGCCAAGCACTCAATGCATCACCCCACTGTATCACCTGATCACCCTGTTTGACAGGTGAGGCAGCTGGGCTCTGAGAACTGTGGCGGCCAAGTGCCACAGGCTGGCAAACAGCCGTGCCCGGCCTTGGGCTAAAGTCAGTGTGATGCCAGCACTGGAGTCACTGGGACTTTAATTGTTGCTGGAGCAGAGAACTGCCCTGATGAAGTGTTTTTTTCATTTAGCTTTTTAAAAGAATATTTTCAGAAAAATAGCTGGGATGAATTAGAAGTGGAGGAACTAGCTGGGTTTCCTAACCGCAGCTCTATTGCTAGGTTGGGCTAGGTGATTCTTTGTGTGTAGGGGGGCATCCTGGGCACTGTTGGATGCCAGGAGCCCCTTCCACCCAGGTGTGACAACCAAAATGTCTCCAGACATTGCTAGGTGTCTCCCAGGGCTAAATCCTTTCCCGTGAGTTAGAGGCTGAGAGCCCATAGATGTCCAGGTCTTCAGGGGTGAAGCTCTAAAGAAGGATGGGAGACATGGGGATAGAAAGGAGAGAGAGAAACCTCTTTCTAGGGATCGGATGGTAGTCCCAGTGTCAGACAGAAGAGACAGGTTGGGTGGTGTGGGGGCCGGAGAGCAGGGAGGAGCTGCCAAGCTCATTTTCAGACATGTGGAATTTGAGGTACCAGAAGGACTCTCAGGAGGGGTGGTCCGCAGAGAGCAGGAATAGCCCGGCTCACCCAGGGCCTTCCTGAGATTAGGAGGGAGCAGCTGTCTTCTCCCAGTAGACGTGGCCCAGCCAGGCATTCCACCTGCTGCCTTACACGGCACCAAATCAGGACTACCATTCCTGGCAGCACGGACGTGGAGATGTCCACTTGGCCACTGCTGCCACGGGAGGGGTTGCTGAAGTACCTGGATAGAGACTCTCTTCATGAGAAAGGAGATAAGAGTGAAGGGAGGACCAAGGACTGCCCTGGAGGAGACACTCAGGCAGGGGCAGGAATAGGTGAAAGGGGCTGCTGAAAACAAATGGAGAAGGTCAGATGGGCAGGGTGTGTCAGTTCCAGGAGAGCCAAGGGGGTAAGTGTGTTTCCAGGAAGAGATCCAAGAGCTTTGGGGGTGCCAGCGAGAACACATGCTGGGGAAAGATGGCGGGCCCGCCAGGGCAGGAGGGCTCCGTGTCAGTTACACGCAGGGACAAAGCAAGGAGGCAAAGACACAGTAGGACATTTGCAATGAAGACAGACGGCTAACACACTTCCTCAAGATCATAGGTGGGACGGGAGTGTCAGTAGTAGAAAAAGAGCTAGAGAAGCAGCAGGTTCCAGGGAAGGACTGTCATCTTGAGAGGCATGTTTGATGGCCAGAGGAGGAATAAAAGGAAGAGAAAGGCTGTAGGTGCCAGAGAAGGAAGTCATAATTCCAGACCTTGTGCACAGGCTCCCCTGAGAGGGAGAGAAGGGGCGACATGGAGGGATGAGCTGTATCTGGAGAAGGCACCGAGAATATAGTGGGAATTTGGAGGGAAGGGAGAAAAGATGGTCGAGAGAGAGAAAGCAAGAGAGCTGAATATGTTCATGCCTGGGGCCTTGATCCCTGGCAGAGCAACTTTCTGAGAATTCCCAGCAGGCAAGAGTAGGACAATAATATAATAATAGCTACTGAGTATTAAGCACCTGCTGTGTACCAGGCACCATGCCAGGAGTTTGACGCGTGATACTTTCTAATCCTTATAAACAACCCAGCAAGGAAATGTGTTTGCATTTATAGGTGAGACAACAAAAACTCAGCAAGATGGGGCTATGGGGCTAGTTAAGTGGTAGGATCAGAATCCAGACCTCGGTCTGTCATTCTCTTTTAAGCGACTGGAGGTGTGCGAGTAAGGGTTGGGGTGGCAAATATGAAGGGTGCCTCAGGAGGGGGGCTCTGTGAGGAGATCAAGATGGCAGGCATGGGGGGCGGTGGCCTGGGTCATGTTGGCATGAACTTTAGGAGCACACAGATTTGGGGTGGCTAAAATGGGGTTCAACCCGTGACCCAGGAACCCAAGGGGAAGGAGCAAAGCATGAATAGGATCCAGAGAGAATTAAGGAGAGGAAGGACTCGAGGATGTCAAAGGGGAAGAGGGAATGTGTGATCATGTGTCTGGGTTCGATGATGAGCTGTATCATAATGGGATTTTTCTCTTCCCAAGAAGACGAAGCAATTCTTCATTATATTTCTGGTTATAAAAGTTATGTGTCTCTTGAACAAATCCAAACATTATAGACATCCATGACGTGGAAAGTGTTCACTGCTCTAGCTTCCCTGGCAGGTCTGCCAGAAAGAGCTGATGAACCACCATGTGAAAGCAAAGGTCCCACGCGATCCCACCATGCGATCCCACCACGCTGGGTAACACTCCCAACACGTGCATGTCTTTTTCCTCGGCTTTTTCTTTCGGTTGGACACCGATACTTAGAAGTGGGAGCACACTATGCATATTGTATTACAACCTCCTTTTTTTCATTTAAAAATGTGTATTTTGGATATCTGAGAAAGAGTGATTCTTCTGTGCATGCTGGGAAGCCTTTTATTTGTAACGAAGTCTTGCAGAAATAGACACAAACAACTGACCTTGCCAGAAAAAATGCAGTCCTTTCTTCCTTTTATCAAAAGAAGCTGAGAAATCAGGCAGGAGGAGTGGGGGACTAACTTTCAAGGTCCCTCTTTAGGCATTCCACATCTGCCCAGCTGGACCACACAGCAAAATCTCTTACTCATCAGGTCTTCAGGGCCAACACCACCTTCCGGTCCCTTGGGTTGCTAGCCAACAATACTTCAAATAGTTCCCCTTTACATTACTTGACCTGCAATGCCCTGGGCGATATACAGACCTAGCTGTTAGGTGTTCTTTACCTCTTAGGACAGGCTTTACGTCTTGGAAAAGGCAGGTGGTATGATAGTTAAGAGTAGGGGCCTGGAGGTCAGAAGGATCTGATCTAAATCCCAGCTCTACCACTTGGCTGCTGGGACACTCACCCCATTGTCATGACTCTAGGAAGGAGACCTGGGAAGGGCTCTTTTGGGTGCGACCCAGCTGAGTGCTCATGGCTACAAAAGTCCCGTTTGCTGCAAGTGGAAATGGGGCTGCAGGTCGAGTTACCTCGGTGTGAATAAATCAAGCTGTACCGCCCACACGTGTACCTATCTGACTCCTGTTGAGGTCAGATTAGGTCAACAAGTACTTCAGGCTGGTGATCATGGCAGCTCCCATTTATTGAGACTTAGCGTGGCCCAGGCTCCATGACTAATGTGCACACGTCTCAGGGTTTAATCCTCATGACATCCCAATGGGCTCTTAGCCCCATTTTATGAACAGGAAAACAGGGGACACAGAAGTCAAGTAACCTGCTCACACAACTAGTCAGCACACAGCTGAGATTCAGACTTTGGCAGCTGTTCTCCAAAGCCCACGCTCAGAATCATTCCGCTGGTCCTGGGCCTTCTGTGGGCTTGGCTCATGGTGGGCATTGGAGAGGGAGCTCACCTCGGGGAGTGAGTGCTCTTAGCTCTTTCCCTGCCCAAGTTGATGACAGAACCTGTTTTCTAGGATTTGGGTGTGTACCTGGTACTTCTCTGGATCTTCAGAGAGAGGGCGGGGTCACAGAAAAACACAGGTATTGGGATCACAGTGACCTGACTCCTGACCTTCCAAGGTACCAGCTGTGCGACCTTGAGCAAGTTTCTTAATGCACCGCGACTCAGTTTCCTTACCTGAAAAATGAAGACAATAATAGTACCTCGCTTATTGGGATATGGGAGGATA